CCCCCCCCCCCCCCCCTCGATCAACCATCACTTCCACGAGCGTATAAATCACCAAAGTTTCGGACGATCAATAGGAAGCAGGCGTAACGTAATCACTAGCACGCAACAATAACAAAGGGAAGATTCTTAACCATCATTCATATATCCCAAAGGGTACTACTAACTGTTCGTAATATTTCCCTTCCCCGCCACCGACCGTTCCGTAAAGCCATGCAATAGCATGTATAGAAAAGTGGGGAGAGCAAAGAAGAAACCCCCCAAACCGGTCTTTTTAATTCCGTCTCTTTTTTCAATCAAATCCCACATTCGATTTCCGTCACCCGACTAACAACAACCGCCTTTGACACGTGCTTTTTCTCTCTCCTCTTGATCCCCCGGAACCAAGAAACCCTGATGATAGAACTCCTAACCCATGCACGGCTTTCGCAAAAACAAGAGTCTAGGCAAATGATGCCACCAACGACGAGCACTAGAATGAGCTACCGGTCAAAAACTCCGGCGTCCTCCTTGCTCATCGCATACCTCCGGAGTCCGTAGTGGCAGGCTCATCTCATGCGAGCCGTTCAAAGGCTGCACGTGCCCGCAACCAGCTAGGTAACCCCTGTGTGCTTCAACTACGAGGCTTTCTCAATGGTGGGTCCAAGCATCTAGTAGGTCCTAGCAAGGTTGCGAAGGTACCAGTCTACAAGCCTGCGGCCGACCTTGGCCTCGGAAACGTGGATGAGGTCCTACATGACAGTCAGCCTGCTATTCGTACGCAAAATCGAAGGGTTCTTTTCGAATATCAAGAAATTACTTACGCCCTCCATAGCGTAGTCAAGATCGCTGCTGTTGACAATGTCGCCATCGAGCAGACCGCCCTCGGTCCACCTGACCTGCCTGCTCCTCTGCTTGTTGACGAGCAACCAGCAGCGGAGCTTCTCGGGCTCGACATCAAGGAAACCGGCGAGCTTCTTGAGATCCATGGTGGTGTAGAGCTTCAGGTAGCTCTTGACGGTGGGCGACCACATGTTGTTCTTAACCTCCTCCATGAAGATGCGGCAGTGGTGGTCGACGGGGTCGACGTTGACCTCCGGGTTGTCGAAGTCCGGCGGGGTGGGGGAGATGAACTTGGGGCAAGCCTGGCGGAAGAGTTCCTCGAAGAGGGGCAGAGCCTCGGGACCGCCACGCTGGAGGCGGTTGAACTGCTCGCCGTACTTCTCGCGGAGAGCAGAGTGGATGGTGTCGTCCAGCCTGGTGGGGTTGAAGGCAACGCAGATGGCAATCAGGGCGTACATCTGGTCGTTCCTCTTGGTGATGGAGTCGTACTGAGCGTTCTTCTGGAAGTTCTTTGTCCTCGAGACGTAGACCAGAATGTGGCTGAACATGCGGATGGCGTCGGCATAGCGGCGCATCATCATGTAGGAGAAACCAACATAGTAGTAGGTGGTGAAATGGGCGGCCATGACACGGGCGAACATGGCCTTCTTGTTCAGCTCGATGTCGTCGAGCGTCTTGAGGGCCAGGCTAAAGTCGCCGAGAAGGCAGTGGACGCGGAGCAGGCCAATGATGGAGAAGTAGCCGAGCATCTTGTACAGCGGGCGGTTGCCGTACTCGCCGGCGAACTGGGCAGGGTCCTCGCCGCGCTTCATGGCGGCCAGCTGCTCGCTGATCTGCGAGCGCTGGATCAGCGAGTACAGGACGTTCAGAACGCTGTAGCAGCCCCAAGTGTTTGGGTTTTCGCGGAGCAGCTGGATCTCCTCCTCGTTGTCACCCTTCAGCGCAGTCTTTTGTCTGTAGCTACAGAAGCTGTTGAACTGGTAGATGAACTCGTCGATGACATCCCAGGCCCAGTAGTACTGTCGATGCGTCAGCGCAAGCAATCTCCGGGAAAGGCATGCACGCTCGCAGGGGTGCTTACGTTGGGGACCTCGAGGTCGACGGGGCCGTCGGAGTTGAGGATGAAGTGGAAAAGGCTGCAGTAGTTGTCGTAGCTGGCGAACTTGGTCTCGAGGGTGGCGGGGAACTCGAGCGGGGTGGCAGCGGCGGCAAGCTGGGCGTGGATGTCCTGACCGCCGAGCGATGAGGTGCGGTCGAGGGCGTCCATGCCGTCGTCGTACTGGACCTGCTCGCGGTAGTCGTTGGCGAGGGCCTCCTCCTCGACGTCCGAGTCATCGGGGCGCGCGCGGGGCGTCTCGGCCTGCATGTTGTTGCGCAAGCTCATGGTGGGCGGATGGAGGCGCGGAGGGATGCGCGGAGGGCGGTGGAGTTGGCGTGCGGTGGAGCGTGTCGGGGCGTCGCGCGTCGTGAGGGTTGAATTTGGTGTTTCGCTTGGTGTGCGGGCCCGGACGCCGCCTTATCGATAAGCCGCGACTGCTGCAATAGGTGTGTCGGTCTGCGGGGGAGCGCCGCCCACTCTCCGCCATCACCCACACCTGCAACCAAACCATGGCTCAGACAATCAAGGTCGCAGTGATCCAGCTGCATCCCAAGGTTGGTCGTCGCCGCAAGCCTCTGCCTTCGCCGCTCACACGCGCCCACAGCCGCTCCAGATCGAGCACAACTTCAACAAAGCGGCGAGCTTTATCAAGTCGGCTGCATTGCAGGGCGCCGAGCTTGCCGTGCTGCCCGAGTATCATTTGACAAATTGGGTCCCCAAAGACCCTGGCTTCCTGCCGCTCTGTGAGCAGTGGGAAACCTACCTTAAAAAGTATCAGGCGCTCGCTAAAGAACACCGGATCTGCATCGTTCCTGGCACCATCGTCGAGAGACACCGCGATGCCGACAAGGAGGACGAGAGACTACTCAACGTCGCTTATTTCATCAACCAAGATGGCGACATCATTGGCAAATACGTGAAGAAGAACCTATGGTAGGTGCCCCCTTTGAATCAGTGACTGACATCACAGACACTTCTGCATGTGGAACAGCCACGGCTTTGGGTGCTCCGTGCACATCGTGTCCACATCGATGCTGCATATTCCTGGTTGCCCGAGCCACCCTATTGCAGTACTACTCAACATGCCCATCGCGTGCTTCTGTTGCCCAAGAATCTCGGCTTACTTGAATCTTGTAGGGGTCCGGAGCGCGAACACCTTACCTCATCCGGCCGCGACATTCATGAAGTCTTCGACACCCCAATCGGCCGCGTCGGCATGCTCATCTGCTGGGATCTGGCCTTCCCGGAAGCCTTCCGCGAATTGATTGCTCAGGGTGCTAAGATCATCATCATTCCATGTTTCTGTCAGTCCGCGCCTTGTTCCGTCCGTCGCATGCACAAGGAAATCACTCCTGATCTCATCTCTGCTCTAGGGACACTGGCCGACTGCTCACCCAAAGGCCTCGGCTACAACCCGTCCTCCGAAGCCCTTTTCCTCGACAGCATGCTCACAGCGCGCGCTTTCGAGAACACGTGTGGTACGCGCCTTTCTGCACCCGGCTAACGCTTTTCTCTTGCGAGCTCTGATTTGTCGTCGTCCAGCCATCATATTTTCCAACGCCGGCGGCCCTGCCGGAAAGGGCTATGCCGGTGTCTCGCAAGTCACGGTCCCCTATATCGGTCCCGTGACTCGCCTTGGCAGCTGCGCCGAAGGGATGAGCATCGTCGACCTCGACCTTAGCATCCTTGAGGATGCGGAAGAAAACTACCAGGTTCGCGCTGACTTGGCCCGTCACGACTGGCATTACGATTACCGGCACAATTCAAAGGGAAAGCTTTGAAAGCTGATATAAAAAGTGCGGTGTAAGAATCGAAAACGATAAGAGATGTATTCATGTGGAAATTCTCATGTGGATCGGAGTGGTCAGAATATGTCTATCAAAGGAAACATTGGTTCAATGACCATTTCTTGAAGGAGAGGATGGAGAAATGAAAGCCAAAAGATACTCCTCAAAATGCCAGAAACAGGTGCCGAAACAACGAAAACAAAAATCGTCTATATGCAGTGTTCTCCTCGGGTATAACCAAACATTAACGAGAAGTTCTGTCACATCCAAGCCCTTTGAACTTATGCCCTGACCCGTTGGGGGAAAAAAAAAAGGAAAACGTAATCAACACCGCCATGTTCCAATCACTGCTCGATCCACAGGGTGGACGCACCGGGGAACTGGATCCTCTGGGCGGGCAGCACCTTGCTGCACTCGGTCAAGCTGTTGATGTTGTTGACACCGAGGAGACTGAGGCGGGTGTAGGCGGCGGCGTAGTCCTCGTTCCAGTGCTTCTGGCCCGTGACCGGGTCGGTGAACTGGACCCACTCGTCCTGGACGCGGCTGTCGTTCGCCAGCACGACGTCGCTCGCGAAGCGGAACACCTTCTTGGGAACCTGGTTGGACGTGGTCTGGTTGTAGAAGCGCGTGTCCCAGACGCCGGGGGTGCTGTCCTGGGGCGCACCCGCCAGGGTGGTGTTGACGGTGAACTGCTGCGAGGCCGTGTGGGCGCCGACGAGGGCCGCGAGCTCGTGCGGAGAGATGGTCTTGTTCTGGAAGAGTTGGATGAGCTTGTCGGCGCTGTCGTTGACGCCCGGGAGCAGGCCCTCAGGGCCCGCCGTCTTGCTGTCCTGGCGGCCGGCGAAGAAGCGGATGCGCGGGCCCAGCGGGCAAGTGACGACGGCGTGCACTCCGGCGAATTGGATCAGGTCGGCCATGCCGACGCCCCAGCGCTTTTGGATGGTGATCATCTTGCCAATGATGTCCTGCAGGCCGTTGTTCTCCGAGCGGTTGATTTCCGTGCCGGAGAGGGCGATGCTGCCGTCCGCTCCGCCCCACGTGGTGTTGGACCAGGTGCCTGCATCGTGGAAGCCGAGGCGGATGGCGGCGCGTGCCCACTTGTTGCAGCGACCAGTAGGCCCCAAGAAAGTGAGGCTGAGTTCGGCGGAGACGTAGGACCAGACGCAGCAAGTGTCGGCCTTGCATGCCTTGGTTCCAAAAAGAGGTGGGGTGTAGCCGCTAACCTGAGTCTCGCCAGACTCAGCCCCTGTCAGGATGTTGTAGATGCTGTTGCCAACGGGGGTCGTGGGGCCAACGGTGGCAAGGTCACCGATCATCTGAGGATCGGCATCGCCGTCAGCGTTGAGGTCGACGACAACAGCGGTGTTGGCATCTTGGCGAGCGCGGATCTCAGAGACAAGATTGGCCATTCCGGGGTGGGCCACGGTGGGCTGGATGAGAACGGTCAGAGCAATGCTCGAAAAGACTGCAGAAAACTTCATAGTGAATGTTGGTCTAAATGAATGGACTGGTAAAAGAAAATGAAAGGCTGGGAAATGACTATCCCAGAGTAGTGATCGTTTGAGAACGACTGCGTTGAAGTGAGCGTCAAAAGAATGTTGGCTGATATGAAATCCAAACACAGCGGGGCGACGGGCAAGATATATTCAACATCTCTCACGAGAGCCATCCCAAATCCGGCCGTTCTTGTGGCCCGCGTGGAGTCTTCCGCGCGCCCTGGGAGGGCCAGTGGCAGAGCAACAGCGCGTTAGGAGGACTGGCTCGGGTCCTCACAGTCCAGAACAGCAATCAACAGTAGAGAGGAAACAGACCCAGGTCCAGGTCAATGTGCTAATTAAAGTAGGTTATGGCCATTACAAGCTAGCTCGAGGGTGCGGAGGGATGTCTTGAGCTGACGTGCATAGCTGGCGCCACGCCAAGCGAGCGTATTGCTGACCATCAGGGAATCGCTTCCTCTGTCATAGGCAGCCATTTCTCATGGCCGCTCTGCGCCATGGAGCTTCAATGGAAAGCTCCGATGCACGTGTCCAATGATCAGCCCTGCGGCCCGACAGACGCAGCACCGGGCCCGGTAAAATATGGGGGATCCGATGGTCTGGGACGGTACTACGTAGTCGAGGCGCATCCAGGTCCTGGCGGGCTGTGGCCAAGCAGTGGTGGCCAGCTCAGCCTCACCCACCGTGGCACTAAAGAGACGGGCTGCTCGCTTCCCGCGGTCCGCAAGTGCTAGCGTGGCCCATGATGATCGGCACCCGCGGGAGGGACGGGGGCCGTCGATCTGAGGAGGGTTTCCTGTGGAAGAAAAGTGTTTCTGTTGCAGGACGGATCGCTGGGGCAGTGTGGCGCAAGTACTCAAATACTTACGGGGCTAATCGAGAGCTTTCTGCACTACCAGAGCCACCGAATAAGGCTGTGGACATTGCGGATACACAGGTGCATTGCGACAGCCGTCAAGTAGTGGGCCACAGGCATGGCGCAAGGGTCCTCTGTGTCACCGATGCAAGGAGGCGGCTCAGGTGGGACTTTGTTTTTTTCTTTTCTTTCTCGTTTACTCCTTGGCCTCGTCGACGTCCCCTTTGACTTTTGCGTCCTTCTTCGGCGGACGCACGCCAAAGATAGTAGTGCCGACTCTAACCTCGTCGCTCCCCAGAGCGATGGCGCCCTCGAAGTCGGAGCTCATGCCCATGCTCAGCTCCAGCTCCCCCGCCCCCAGGCCGAGCTCCTTGACAACCTTATCCCGCACATCGCGCAGCGCCACAAAATCCTCATTCTCCGTCTCTGGCGTGGTCGCCTGCGAGCGGGCAATGGCGCCAATGGTCATGAGGCCTGCAAGCTTGAGGTGCGGGCAGTGCTCGCGGACGTGGCGACACAGCGCGGCAGTGTCCTGGGGCTCGACGCCGCTCTTGGCCTCTTCGCCCGACGTGTTGACCTGGACCATGATGCGCAACAGCTCCTTCACATGGGCGTGGGCGCCCTCCTGCATCTTTTTTTCGACGAGCGTCTTGCGACCCTTCTCCAGCTGGTCGGCCTTCTTGGCCGAGTCGACGCTCGACACGCACCACAGGTTAGGGATCTGCTCGGCCAGCTTGGAGCACTTGTTGGTCTGCAGAGCGCCGATAAAGTGCCATCGTATGGTGCGCGGCAGGATTGCAGCCTTCTCTTGCAGCTCCTGGAAGTAGTTCTCGCCAAAGTGGAGCTGGGTGCTCGGCGCAGGCGCCGTGTGGAGGGCAAGCACATCGGTGGCAGGCTTCAGTTTCGAGACGGCGATGAGGCGGACCTGCACGGAGGATGAGCACGCAGTGTCAGCTTGCATTCTGCCGGCAGCGCCATGGCGTTGGCTGCGCGAAGGCGAGCGGGAGCGTCTCAGGCGCGAGGGTGCGACGCACGTTTCTGCCGGCCTTGTTGGCGGCCCTTATCCTGTCGGAGACATGGGCGATGTTCTCGATGAGCTCGGTGGCTCGCAGGGGATTCACTTTCATGTCGTGGTCGGCCATGTCGCAGGGTGGGATAAAAGCGAGGGCGGGCGGCAAGTGACGTGAGAGCGGCGGCGGCGCCCGAGTCATGCAGCGGCTTCTCTTCGACAGGCCATCCCAGGTACACCGTCGCCTCCACTGCGTACGAACATCCCCTTTTACCGCCCACCAACACCGCCCACGCCCCTCCGCGGACATGACTTGCCAGATCCGAGCCATTGCATGCAACTTTGGACGTCTGCAGGCATGCTGAATACACAGCATACCCCAACCTCGCCGTCCCCGTTTAGTCCGTTTGCAGCAATAGCTCTGTGTGCCTCTGCCTAGCGCCGGCCATCGTTCCAGGAGAGAGCGCCGCACCACCCCACCAGCCGATGAGTGGCATCCTTCACTTTCCTTCTTGTCCTCGTAGCCCACATCTGCGCCACGTCATATTCGCATTCCTCGTTTTTCTCCTGCATCCCCCGACCAACGCTCGTAGAGCGCTCACACACTGCCCCTCACTGTCATCTGCCAATGAAGAGACGAGAAACAAAGACACACCACGTTGGATGACAGAGCGGAAAGAAGTACCAATACCAAGCAAATAAGATTCGGAGCTGGACATAGCGATTCGTTCATCGTGAGGCGCGAAACTTGACCGTCATCCAGCCACCCACCACTCCAAAGTAGCCCCCGCTTCCCTCCAATCACAAACAACCCCATCCGCGGTTCCATGCCACGCCTCCAACCGAGGCCTGCGAAGCGTAACAGCTCCAGTTTGCGAGAGAGCGAGAGAGAGAGACCAAGAAAGCGGACCGAGCTTTGCCATTGTCCCGCAAGAATCTACTGCCAGACGCGGAAAGAGCGACGGACAGAAGCACGCTTCTGCGTCTCGGAGACCCCAGCCGTCCCGTTCTGCGCAGCCTCAGCCGCCACCGCATCGCCGGTGCCCTGAGCCGCAGCCGCGTCGGCGGCTGGAGTCGCAGCCGGAGTCGCAGCAGCAGCAGCAGCACCGGCCTGTTCCTGCTCGGCTGCGGCCTGATCAGCGGCAGCCTGCTCCTCAGCGGCAGCCTGCTCCTCAGCAGCCTGCTGGTCCTGCTGGTCCTGGCCCTGATCGGCCTGCTGCTCCTGACCGGCCGCCGCAGCTGCAGCCGCCTGCTGGGCCGCCTGCTGGGCGTCGGTGATCTGCTGCTCCATGTCTTTGCCGGCCTGCAGGGCGTCGCCACCTTGAGCGTACACCTGCGCCTGGATCGCCTTGACCTTGGCGTCCTGCGCGGCGTCGGCGAACTCCTGCGCCTTCTTGGCCGTGTCGATGGCCGCGGCGTCGAGCTTGGCGGCCTTGATGAGCTCGAGCTGGGCAATCTTGAGGGCGTCTGATTGTTTGTCGTCGTCAGCGAGAGGGCAAAGAGTGGTGGTATATTTGGAGTGGTTTTGAGCGTGGGATCAGGGAGACTGGGCTTGCGTGAAGGGAGTGCAATCAACACGGTGGCGACCTACCCTCCTGCTTCTGCTCTTCGTCATCGTCGTCGTCCAGGCCGAGAATGACTATGATGTTATCCCCGTCATCATCGTCATCGGAATCGTCGCCTCTGCGTCCAAGATCGCGGGTGGCAAGTTCGACATCGCTGAGGGAGCCACCAAGCTCGGTATTGGCTGCTTGGTGGAGAAGGCTGTTAGCTGGTTGCATGTCGGGGAGAGGTTTCTTTTTGGAAGAGTGACGGTGTTAGGGCAAAAACTTACGACCAGGCTTGACAGGCGAAGCCGCTGCCAGAGCGACGACGGAGAGAACGGCAACGGTGGAGTACTTCATCTTTACGGATTATGTGGATAATTTGGTCAGAGAAGCCAAGATATTAGTCGAAAGAAAGGTTGTTGAACTGATCCGCGTCAAGCGGTTGTATGAAGTCAAAGAGAACGGAGGGTGTGCACAGCACGGGGTTTGAGAAGTAGATAAGCTTAAAAATGAGCGTAAATCTGGATGGGGATGGCTGGATGATGGGTGGAGAAAGGGAAGTTGTGGGGCGCTGGGAATGGGAGATTTATACAAAGTCAACCCTCATCCTGATCTCAGGCATGGTGGAAGAGCTTCCATCCGAGCTACTCAGTGTGAGGCTGCCAAGATGTAGAGACCCTGATTCGGCAGGGGAATTCCGTGCATGGCTCGACGTCAAATGTGGGAAGAGCAATCGCAAAGCGAGTATAGCATGGGTGATAGGTAGCGGCGCCCAGGCCAACAAGCTCTTACACAAGCAGAGGCTCTTGCATGCTAACGATTGGCGATTTATGGGAAGGGGCATGCCGTCCGGATCACACTGGTCCGGACAAGGTTGTGGTGCGCCATCGAGCCAGATGCATGACAGTCAGCGGCAGCCTGAGGCTTCTTCTGTCTTTCCGGGAGATCATTTGATCGTCGCGGGGCGTGGCGTGGCTGGTTGATGGTGACAGGCGTGTGAGAGACGCAGGCGGAGATGCTTGGCAGCGGGAGTGACGGAAAATAACAGCGTAGATCCAACGGCGATCGCCAGTCTGGATCCAATCAGCGAATGGACGGAACGGGTGTCTGGAAGGGTCCCGTATTGGCGAGTCACACGGCGCGTATGAGACTGTGGAGGCGGTGTTGCGGCGCCGCTCGTTTCAGAACCCAGATAACCGCAACGGAGGCTGCGGCACCAACGCCCCTTCAAGAAGGCAATCCCCCAAAAACGGGCATCGACGGACAGTGGTGTAGCCCCAAGTTTTACTTTTAACGCGCTGATGTGAGCGTCTGCGATGATCTATCCGTAATGCCCTCCTCATTTAACTCTGCGAGCGGAATGAAAGCTATCCGCGTGGCCGTATATTGGGTCACTGCTTAAAAAGTATCAGTATACGGCAGCTTGAAAAGCCGTTGCAGCCAAGCCAGTGCCAAGGTAGATGAAGCCAGAATCACGCAACATAAGGCAACCAACACCTTAAGTCTTCTTTACAACAATGATTCAAATGCCTCCGACCTTGCATCGCCCCAAGAATTCGGCCACTTCGATCCCTCGTCGCCTTCCCAGCCCGCCGCCAGCATGGCTACGACGATCATCAGCCCGCCACTTGCGGGGAAGTACGGAGTGGGCACCCGGCTCCCGCCAAGAGGCATGCCCACGTCGTCAAATGCGAAGTTTTCGTCGAGCAACCACCGGATAGCCGTCTCCGCATCTCCGCCGCGCAATGCAGTCATGGCTAGCAGAGGGAAGTCCCAACCGTAGCTGAGTGAGAAATTCCATGTTTGGTAGACACGCTCGACAGTTGCCTTGAAGACAGCAAGGTCAATGTTGGGTGGCGGGGGAAGGACTCCGTTGATGGCGAGCAATCCCTGATGGTCCGATGTCAAGTCCGGATCTGTCCACATGTTGGGCGCTCCTTCATAAGTCACGTAGCTGCCGTTGGCTGTCGGCAGAGGTGCGAGATTGTCCGCAACCTCAGTCCAATGCAAAGGCACAGATTTCCCTTGCCGCTGTTGCCATTTGGCAGCGATTGAAAGGCCAAATTCCCAGTATGATAGCTCAAAGATCGAATTGATGGTGGCATTTGGGTTGGTGTTCTCGGAGACGGGGTACATCGGCGGTCCCAGGTCGTAGACTCCAGTAGTCTTGTTGTAAAATGCATACGAGCTCATCCACTCAGCCGATGCAGTAAGGATGGGGTCCCATTTGGCCAGTGTGCCATTACCTGGGTTCTGTCGGTACTCGAGTTCGGCAAAGTAGAAAGGGTGGACTTGCTGCCAGATGAGAAGTGAGTTGATCTCTCCGGGCGCCGAGCGTCCTGTGGGATCACTCATTTTACCCCAGCGAGCGCCCGTGTACCCTTGATACGCAGCGCGCTCCAAAGAGGTCGGAAGGAATCGCTCGTACACTCCAATGCTTCGGTCAAGTAGGTCTTGCTTCCCCCAAAGATTCCAGTGGACAAGATGCCAGTACACCATCTCCATATGGAACTTCCCGTACCAACCGTTGTTGGCAAGGCCGGACTCTTGCGGTGGATCCCTTCCAGCTTCGTTCACGGCAAGTAAGTATTGAGATAGAATAGTCCGACGCTGAATCTCAGTTGCGTTGGGATCAGGGATGGTGGTCAAGTCCAGAAAGGCACCCGTCTCCCAGTAGTTGCTCCACCAATCAGAAGATGAAGCTGATATAGCTGCATAGGTGCTATTGGAATGCGACCGTCGGGGCGCAAAGGTTGCAGTGAAAGTGAGAGAGTCACCTTGAGTTGTCAAAAAGTACCGATGAGCGCTTGCATTGAGGCGACGCACAGAAGCTCCTCCATCCCACCTGATATGGGTGAAATAAGTAGTGGCATCGATATTGTGTTCAATCTCAGCAGAATTTCGTCCGTTCCGAAGGGAAGTGGTGTGGTTTGAAGTAGAATTAAAAACTCCGACAAACTTCTCGAATTTGTTCTTGTCGACTGGATAGGGATAGTCGAAAAAGACAGACAAGGACTCATTCCTCAACAGTTTAGATTGCACCTTTACGCCTAGCGTATCCGAGGCTGGATCCGCAAGGGTCTCAACGGAGACAGTGCTTCCGCGGATAGAGAAGGTTGAGTGCAGTGTACCGTTAAATAAATCTAGCCTTTGAAGCGGGCCCCCAATGTCGACATCCTCGATGGACTTGCTGTTTAGTGCGAGGCCTATCCTCGCCAGGTTCACACGGTGAGGATTGGCGATCATCCATTGGGAAATTTCCGCTTCTGCGGGATTCGGCTGTGCGTAGTTGATGGGGCGGCCATGGGTCCACCAGTCAAGACCAGTGAAGTCTTCTGGAGAGGTCTGGCCGGGCGTGGTGGGCAGCGAGGAATTGTGCCAACACCAAGAGGAAAGAATGTTCCACGGCACCACGGTTTGGAGTCCAGTAACATCAGCCCCGAAGGCAAAGTCCCCGTTGCCTACTTGCATTGGAGTGTCGTAGGAGGAGGCAGATCCATTGCGAGTTGGGTTGAAATTTCGAACCACATCGCGCCGGTTGATTGGCTCAGCCGTGACAGGATAAGCCCAGGCAATCGCCGCCGAGGAAATCACTGGTCCAGAGAGGCGCATAACGAAGGGGAGGAAAGTGCAAATACCGGGCGGCGGCTTGAGGGCTTCATTGCGACATGTCGAGAAGGCTTTCTCCGGCCTTTAAAGCCGCTGTCGATGAGCTGGATGAATGCACGATGGGGCATCACCCCGCGCCCCGCACTGATCGACGTGGGCGGTGGCCATTTTTCCCGGGAGATTTGCACTGGTTCCTGAGCACAGGACAAGACGCCGACGGGTCGACGGCGGACTTCGGTGTAGCGAAGCCCGTGATGATGACGACGAGCCGGCGCGCTGAGCACATGAGACGAGAAGATTGGAGGAGGCCTGTCGACCGGATGGAGAAGTGGAAACTGCCGATCCAACGCGTGGGGTGGAATGGCGCGTGCCATGACTGTGGGTCCGTTAACGGCCTGTTCCTGGCAGTGCCGCAGTTGCTAGGCATGCCCGTTGACTGCGGCCATTGAAGCAGGGCGCATGCGGCTTTTTGTTGCGAGGCGGCAGCAGCACCATCGGGGGGCCGGCGAGCGGAGTGCGTGGCGCGCGGGCTGCGACGGCAGGGTGACAGCAGCGGTGGGCGGCCTGGACTTTTTTCAGGCAGCTTGGGTACGAGATGCACCCGCAGTTGCAGCTCAGCCGCGGCCGTGCACTCCCATCGGCACATCGGCGTCGTCATAGCCCACCCGTCGCCTGCACCAGCTTGTTGTTTCACTGCCCTGTCAGCAGCCGCCGCTCCATTACTCCCACCACCACAGCCCAATCCAACCACAGCCTTCGAATTCCAACACGCGCCTTTGTCCGCGAGCGCCCGGCCGCTCCGTTCACACCACCGAGCACTGCGACCCCGTCACCAAGCGTACGTACTGCTTCGACCTCAATCCCCTGCGTCTCATCGCATGCCCTAAAAATAACCCTCAGCGCAACAGCCTCTCACCGGAATCCCCATCGCCCGCCGTTCTCTACCGTCAGCCTCCCACCTGCATACGCGCACAATATCTGCCAACGATAACACCACGCTCGCGCAACAAGGACTACAACACAAAGCAACAATGGCCTCAGGCGTCGGCATCTTCTTTGGGATCCTCATCCTTCTCATCGTCATCGGCGGCGTCTCCTGGGTCGCCTACACACGCATCCGCGCGAAACGCCTCGGCCTGCCGCCGCCGCCGCTCAACCCGTTCGCGCGCGGGTCGCGCTCGTCCATCGGCGGCGCCGGCGCCCTCCCCGCGCCCGCGCCCAGCGGCTTCGTCGGCTGGGTCAACGACAAGATCAGCGCGCTGAAGAACAAAGGCGGCGGCCGCAACAACTCCCGCTATGCCGCGGGCGCCTACGAGGAGCCCGGCGCCGCCAGGGCCGGCGGCCGCGGCCGCGGCACCCTCGATCCGGACGAGGCCTGGGACGCGCGCGTCGGCACCGAGGCCGACTACGGCTACGGCTACGACGAGGAGCAGGAGCTCGGCGGCCTGCACCACCAAGACCACCACTCCGGGACGACGCCGTACGGCGGCAGCGGTTATGCCGGCTCCGGCATGTACGCCGCGCCACACAGCGCCGGTTTGAGCGCCGGCTCCGAGCGTGGCCGCAGCAGGACGCGCGAGCTGGACGAGCGCTACGACGAGGAGATGGGCCACAGCCGTGGCCATGGCGGCGGCGAGAACCCATTTGGCGACAGCGCGGAACGCAGCAACCTGCGCGGCGTCAGCCCTAGACCGGTGGGCTCAGGTGCGCGAGGCGGTGCAGCTGGTGACAGCCCGACAGAGTCGAGGAGGAGCATGTTCAGAGAAGAGGTTTAAGGTGTACAGCATTGGTTCTTTTTTTTTTTTTCACTTCTCCTAATTTCCGGTCTTCCCTTTTTTGGGCCCCTCCAAGATGCTCACGTAGCGTCTCTGATAGGCGGGCGGGTGGTTGAATGAATTCGTGGTTTGGGCTGGACAACTAGCTTTGACGACGAGCGTATGGTATGGGTTTTCTTACTCTCATGCGCGGAGTTCACAAAAGCGGAGGGTCATTGTATAATGTTATTGATATAGTCCGCCTCGGCGAATTTCTCTTCCTAGGAATGTTCATGTCCTTGTCCGAGACTTGATTGCTCTGGATGCATCCATAATCCAACTGCAAGCTGTGGGTGTCATTTCATCGAAGATTCAAACGGAGTCGGTCGACTGGCATTTCGAATATACCTAGAAGATCCTCTCCCGCTCAGTCCATCCGCTATCTCTCGACCATCGCAGCTGCCACATCTTCAGATCACGCCCATCTTGACCTCCACTTAGATGTCATCAGCCAGCCGGTTGAGAGCACCGAATCTGTTTTTCCACACCTGCTCCATCGCATCGACCTTCTGTCCTTTCTCTTGGTCGTCTGGCTGACCCTGCTTCTTTTTCTTACGCTTCTTGTTCTTCTTCTCAAGCGACGCCACGTATGCCTCCTTCGGATCCGGCGCAAGGCTTGGAAAGTTCTCAACGGCGTTGAGCAGGTATGATTCCGGCACGGCATCCTCGTCGTCATCGGGAACAGGGTCGAAGAACTTGACCGCGTTTGGAAGATATTCAAGGCGCTCGTGCAAGTCCTTGACTGCCGCTTGTATTTCTGGATCGCTGTGGTTGTCTGTCTTGTGGGTTTGCGGGACACCTTCTGTGGGGAAGGAAAGAAATATGGTGAGAAACTGGCGGAGCATGCGTAGCGAGTACCATACGCCCTGCAGCTGGGCGACATGATGGACATGAGACCATTCAAGCTGTCCTTGGCAGCCTCGGAGCATTCTCATGACCTGGTTCTTCGAGACTTGGTGTTCTTCCTTCTGGACGAGCTTGTCGGACAGGTACATGGCCCCATACAGCTTCCAGAAGTGAAGCGGCGCGCGAAGGTGCAGATCGCCCGAGTTTACCATGAAGGCAGTGATGTGGGCACTCAACTCCCTGCAGGTGTGAACCACCTCTGCCTTCTTGTAGTAGAAGCGGGGAACTACGGTCTGAGCCATGCGCGGGCCTCGACGCTCCCATTCTTCCATCGAGTACAGGGCAGGCATTGGGATGGAAAGTATGGCGTATCCCAGAAATCTAAGGTCTGCAGACAAGCACCAAGCCGAAGCTCGTGTTGGATCATCAATGAGGAACGGAAGGAACATGGCGCAGCCGACTTCGACACCATCTGGCTGGTGGGATTTTGTGTGGCTGGTGCCCATGACTATAGCTGAGCATACCTGCTGGACAAGCTCAGAGATCCTCGGATCCATCGTCCTCAATTTCGTATCAGCGAGATAGTGCAGGTAAGTAGCTGCCTCTTGCTTCGTCTGACGTGTCTGGGTCCACGGGAGATATACATCCTCGTACGCATTCGGAAGTAAGGCATGGAGAGTATTGTTTCCCTGTTTGGCTGTCAGTACTGACACAAGTCAAGTGACATGCGCGCATGCGTACCTGCAAGAGAGCAAAACTTGAGCGGTAAAGGTTGACCAACAACTGGCCGGAGCCTGACATGCTATGGAGTGGAGTGTACTCTTCGAACCATCCTTGATATGTCGCAATCGAGACATCTACAGCTTTGGCCACCTGAACGAGTTCCTTCAAACTTCTGTGAGAATCCTGCGACAGAGCAAATGCTAGGGGAGCTAAAGTCTTTAGCCCAAGGCGTTCGGCAATGGACCTGGGATGATATTCGACGCCTTTTAGAACCGTCCGACGTGGAAACGTCGCCAGACTCACGTCCTGGAAGCGTAGGACGGATCCATTGGGTCCAAGATCGAACACGAGTAAGTCGGTGTCGGAGCTCAGAAGCCAACATGCTTGTTTCTGGCTGACGCGGCAGACAACATCAGCACAGAAGACATCTGCTTCACCCGGGACCACGAAAACACGCTCGGCAAATGGGCCGTTGCTGAGGTGATCGATGACAGCCGGCACCAAAAAAGGCGTTGCCGGTAGTCGAGTGAGCTTCTCAGGGACGGAAGTTGGCGCACTGAAAGAATTCGTCTCAATGCTGGACCGGACGCAACGAATGTCATCAGGATGCAGGGTCTTGAAGCTTTGAAGCTGAGTGAGAGAGGAGTGGAGGCGCTTAAGGCGAGTGTCACGCTTGGCGGCAGGAAGCGCTCCATCGAAGAAGACTCCTAAGCTTCATTTAGTCAATGGAATACAACTGAGAGCGACTGGAAATTAAGTCACGTACATGGCCATGTTATGCGACTCCAGCACGGTGAGAAAGTGGGACGCAGTCTCTGCCACCTCAGAATGCGATGGCATGGCCTCCAGGGCGTTGCGTGCATGGTATCTTCCGGCGACGGCGCGATGGTAGGCGTGGTAGGCCAGGCTTGGGCCGTCGACCACGACGAGCTTCTTGTCAAGATTTTCTGTTGGCCGGGGGCTGGCAGCCTTCTGCCAAGCTGTGCCCAGCTCGACAGAGGTACCAAAGTCTTGCATGTGATGCAGCAGTCGCTGAATGCCCATCGCTACCGTCCAGTGCGCGAGTGTTGTGGGTCAAGAAGCAAGAAGAGGATGAGCTGACGATGGGTGGTGCTGGCTGGGTGCTGGGCGCGCGGCTTTTCTTCGGGACAGACCCTGCCAGTACTAGTTCGAATAGAGCAACAGCTACTCGTCGTGTAGATCCTAGATGGGCACTGCTCTTCGTTGCTGTATCATCGCCCTCCCGCTCCGTTTATGAATAAACCAATGTTATTTTACCTTGGCCTGGTAGCAAAATCATCTTTGCGGAGTATCCCTTCACTTCAGAACTGCTTGCCACGAGCCAGAACGATTTTTGCGATTGGAGCATCCATGGACACTTCCACGTCCTTCTTCTCTTGATCTTCTGTTGATAATGAACGGTAGGCAGCCATGAATTAAAATATGTACATTGTCAAATGTCATTCAGCTGCGAAGGACAGCATTAATCATCTTTTTTGTAAACCGCTCGTGGAAGCAAAAGTCCGCGGAAGCAAAACACCGGGTTGTAGAATCTACTGAACGCCGTTGAATGCCATATCCAGAGGTCCTGACCTCCAACACAACAACCCAAGATACCATGACATCCAGCGCGCGTCGTGAGGACGTGCACTCACTGCAAGAGCTCGTTCTACTGGGCCTTCTTGGCCTTGGCGAGCCTCTTCTCGCGCCTTCTCTTGGCGGCCTCAGGACCAGACTCGGTGTCAAGGACGTAGTCCCACCAGCGGAAGCTGCTGGCGTAGTTGCCAATGAAACGCTCGTGGTGGGTGTCGTGGTGCTCGGCACCGGCCCAGAAAGGCAGGAAGTGGTGCAGACTCCAAGGGAACTCGTAGCCGCTGTGGGCGTCGATGGCCTGGAAGAGACGAGCGACAATCCACACGTACATGGTGAGGATGTGGAGGTCCTTGGTGATGGCGCAGTAGAGAATGGGGGAGCCAACGGTGCCGAGACCAAGGATGAGGACCTCAATGGGCGACGCGTACTCGGCCGCAAGACCGAAAGGAGCCGAGTAGTGGTGGTGGATTTTGTGGATGTTCTTGTAGAGGGTGGGGAAGACATGCATGGCACGGTGTGTCCAGTAGTGCCAGGTATCCTCGAGAACGAAGAAGATGGCGATCTGATAGGCCATCTTCAGCGGCGACGGGAACGGAACGCTGGTCTCGAGGCCGAAGAATTGAGCCATAGGATGGAAGAGCCAAATCTGGGGAAGTTCGACGGTGAAGTGGCTCAGCAACACAAGGGCGGCGCATTGCCATTGCTCCTTGGCGGTGGGAACCTTGGCCTAGTGGCGCGTCAGCAAGATCAGCCGTCGGATGCAAGCGACAAAACTTACAGCTTGGATCTTGTACTTGTTGAAGAAAGGAATGGCGTCGATGATGATCCATGGGAGCGAGCGACCGAAATAGACGGTCTCGTGCATGACGAAGGACATGATGCCCGTGGCCAAAACATCGTTGTTCATGTACGTGTACCAGGCGAGCCAGAGGCGCTCGAAGTAGTTGAGGGAGACATTGTACTTGGAAACCTCCTCGAACTGAGCCCAGTAGGTGTCGGCGGGCGCCGGATTGGCGGCGAATGCAGCTGTCGTTGAGTTCCTAGCAGCGGCGTTAGCGAGGAGGCGCTGGGCATGCGCAGCGGCTTGCGGACGTACATCTTGGCTGCGGAGCTGGACTCAACGAGCAGGAGAAGAACGACAGACAGAGGAAAGGGCCAGGAGCGGGAGTGGACAGGACTCGGCGCTTTTAGTTGGTGACCGGGAGGAGCGAGCGGCGGCGCGACCTAGGTTTTGTGAGCTGCAGACGCACCACACCACACGGGACGCGGCTTTCCGGTCCCTGAGCTCAGATGGCGCTAGCCTCAACGTGGCGACCGCTAAGCCGCGATAGGGGCGCGCTAGGATCTTTTCTTGGCATGTTTGCTGCGCGCGATCTCAACAGCGAGCAAACACGCTAACAAGGGCATCGCTCAAGCCCCCATGGCGACAGTATCGGCAGACAAGCACCTGTGGGCTGGGCCGTTGCTCGCATCCACCCACGCCGCCCAGGGCGCCGTCAGCCCATCATCACACAATTTCCACGCACCGCGCCCGACCGCCCTGAGCGTCAAATTTCCCCGGCAGCTGCAGGGCTGGTTCCCGGCCTCTGCAGCCAATCAGCGCCGTCCCCCGTCGCGCCCGCGCGGCGAGAGGCCTGCGCTAGTCCGCCGGCGATCTCTTCGAGAAGACTGGCTGCACACCGCCTGGTCTTGGAGCGCTTCTCTCGCCCGCCTGCGGGACTACGTGTGCGATTTCCACAGAGCTCCAGCGTGTCGTTGGCATTTTGCCACCGCACCAGCTCCTGCGTCGGGATCTCCATCTCGCATTGTCTCAACCTGGCCCGCGCTGTTCTGATTGGCGTTCCGATAACGCCGTCCCTGTTCCTGTCCGGGGCTCGAAGCTTTTATGTACACCCTCTGCCGCGGGGAACACGCTTGCGTCTCAGTCAGGTTCCCGGGTCTGGTGTTTCTGAGTCGCCTCTGCAATCGCGGTGCATTTGCTCTGCACTTTTGCTGGCGCGACCAATACGCGCTGCCTTGGCCCGAGGCGTCACGCTCCGATATGGTAAGCTCCGCTCCATGATCCACATCAACGCCACGCAGCAGCTTCCACGCTTCACGCTGGGAAAATCCACATCCAACTCTGGACTGATTTTCAATTCCGATCACGCTCGACCTGACCGGACAAATCCACTCGTGGCGACCCCTAGAATCTCTCGGAAGCTCTTGGCCCGGTTTGCCTTCGGCTGCGTAACCCCCGCCAACATCCATTGCCACTGCCAAGCACACTGTTGCCGTTTGCCGCTTCCGACTCTGGGAGGCGAGTATGTGATAACAACGTATCGAATTTCCTCAACGAGTGTTGCACAGTAAAGTGCAAGATGGAGCGTGAGGCCCTCGTGTGTGGATACCTTCCTCAAGCAAAGAACATGACTATCGTGTTCAGCCACGCGCAGCGGGGTTACGGCATGAAGGCTTTCCAAATCGCGCGGAGGGAAATGGCTTGTATGCAAATGTGCAGCAGTTGAAGGCGAGCCACACGCCAATGTTGCGCTTGTAGTAGCAATAGTATCGCTAGGCAAGTCACCCGTCCTTCTCGCCTAGCCGCTGATTTGTCAACGTAATCTTTTCAAGCCCCGCTCTCTTACACCGTGAGGATCTTCGCGTGTTTGATATCGAGCCCGCTCACAAACTCCTTGATTTTCACATACTCCTGAAACGATTCCGACCCCCCGAACTTCCCATGCTGGGCAGCCTCGTCCCAGCCTGTGAAGAGCACCCACTCCTCTTTCTCGTCCGCACCCTTGTCAATCCTCCACCCTCCAGCAACCTCCTTGGGTGCAGTGAAGTTCTCGACATTGTGCTTCAGAGCACCGAATGTGTGCGAGAAGCCAACGCGCCTGTCTGGCGCAATGAAGTGCCTGCCAATGGCTATGATGGGGGCGTCGAGGGGCAGACGCGGCTTCTCAATGTCAAGGTGGAACATGAATTCGACGTCGACTTGGTCTTTGAGCAGCCCGAGAAGCTCTTGGTTTGTGGGTGAAGGGATCCATTCTTCAAAGTGCTGCGTGACGGATTGCCAGGAGCCGACGATGTAGAAACGCGACGGGTCTTCAATCTGAACAAAGTAATGGAAGGCTTGAGAGGTGTAGTCCTCCATAGCCTTTTTAGCTTTCTGGAGGCTCGCGCGCAACGTGGGGTCGTCGAAGGATGCGCCAGACTTGAGGCGCAGTAGCGCAAGCTCGGTGACGGTCATCTCTGGCACTGGTTGGTGGCTTTGTGCTGTGGCGGGCGACCCGTCTTTAAGGCGGATGTAGTCAAAGACTCAATGTTGTGTTTCCTCCATGTAGGGCTGAGGCAGCAACGATGATGCGGCATTTTCGGGGCTGCGAGAGCCGAGGAGCAGTTGTTCGCGCGGCACTGCTGCACAACGTCGGCCGCCCGTATCGCGCGTCTCTGGCTGAGCCTGTGCCGCGCGGCCAAGGGAGCCTTGGGCGGACGAGGTGGTGGCTTTGTGTAAGGCTGGCCATCCTGGGAAGCGGCGGCGGCGGGCGGGCAGCACACGGGCGACCGGGGGGGGTTTTGCGGACTTGATCGACGGCTTGGCGTGCAGCCTCTCTGCCGCTGTGTGTGTGAACCACGACTGCTCGAACCTCTCCCCGAGCAACCCACCCGCGAGCAAGAGCTGCCTCCGCTCCGCTTCCGCGCTCGTGTCGTGCCAGCACCGCCCGAGTCCGCCCGCCTGCCCTCCACCGCGGCTGCGTCGCCGCCGACGCGCTCTAGGCATCCGAGCGCCAGCTCCACGGCCGAGCATTAAATCGATCGACCAGAACCTCACCGTGCTCGCGCTGTCTCAGGTTTTCGCGGCCCTCTGACTCCGCACCTGCGACCACCAGAGCCTCCGCACACCATCTCGCGCTCTCGCGCACCACACCATTGCCCACGCCCGCCCACCCTCGCCGGCCACCGCTCTTTGCGCGGCAGCCCCACCTGCGCCCGCAGCCGTCGCCTCGCAAGATGCCCTGCTTCCAGGGCCTGGCCGTCAGCATCCATACGCCTGACGGCCCGCTTCCCGAATATTCGATCCAGAAGAACTCTCGCGCCCACCGCATCACCTCGTACATCCCCGTCCCGCCCGCCAAGGTCCCGCCTGGCGCCATCAAGCCCGAACAGTCCACCTTCGCTATCTCCATCACCCTCCTCACCCCCGGCCTGAACGTCCCGTACTCGACTCCCAAACCGGGCCCCGACGATCCCTACCCGCGCCCCAAGGTCGTTGGCGGCTTGCCCGGCTATGGCAACGAGCGGGGCAAGTACGGCCCCGTAATCGGGCCCTACATTCCGCTGACGTCTTCGCCGAACGAGACCATTGCTGCCTATATATACTTCGACGGACGCGCGAAAGAGGAGGTTGCAACGCTGCTCCGGCGAGGCGAGGAGACATGGGTCAACTCGCGCTGGGTCAGCGTGCCCGAGTTGGAGGGCGGTGGTCTCGCTGAGCGTGAGTTCCTCTTCCGTGAGGTTGGATTGGAGCGATGGCTCAATGGTCTCGACCTCGAGGGCAAGGACAAGGACGTAGCAGCTAGGATAGAGCGGCGAAGGCTGCGTCTGGAAAAGAAGAGACGGAAGAAGACGGAGCAGAAGGGTAGCGATGACGACGACGACGACGACGACGACGACATGGACACGGACAGGAAAAAGACGGCCAACAGGAACGGCGTTCTCCGCTATGGTGAAGACAAGACAGTGGAGCCGCTGTCGGGGGATGAAGGCTTGTTCACTTCCGACTCGGATTCAGACGACGAGCCGCCTATGCCCGAGGCTGCTGGCCAGATAAAGGTTGCATTGTTCAGAGTCCTTGCCTCCGGGGAAATCAAGAGGGGGGAGTACTCCCCCCAATTCGACGCACACGATGACGACGATACCGCGGGTGCGAACGGCGACCCGGCCAATGACGCAGATGTTGACCACACGACGAGTTTTGCCAAGCCGAAGACATTGGACCCCAAGTCAATCAGCACACAGACCGTAACGGGCATTGACCCCCCGGATAAGCCCTACGCCGTGTTCACATTCCTGTACCGTGGCGAGAGTAAGTTTGAATTTTCTAGTCCAGACATACAGACGTTTCTGACAGAGCTGTAGAGCAATTACGCAAGATGGGCATTCTGGCAACCCCGAGTATTGCCCCCAAGACCCCTGCCTCGACGAAGAGGAAAACCGGCCTCGACTTCTCCGCCCTGAAGCCACTTACGACAACCGGGACCAGGAATTTCGCGGGCTACCGTGACCCCAACGCGTCACCAACGAAAAAGTCCAAAGGGGGAAAAGTCAAGGACATTGACGACATGGACAGTGATGCCGAGGATGATGACGATGCACGAATTGGCGCCAACGACGACGAGATTGACATCAAGACGGAGGCCAAGGGCATGCTGTCACCTGAGGACGTAGCCAGACAAGAAGAGATGGCCGAGGGCGTTCGCAAGATCAAGGTAAGAACCCCCGGTATCTGGCAGTCTCTGGTTGATCGAGCAGTTCTGACTCCGTTACAGCTCAAGCGTGCCCACTCAGCCGACCCCGTCCAGGATTCCCCAACGAAATCGCCTGCAGATTTCACTCCCAGCGGTTCTGCGAGCGCTGCTTTATCACCCGGCAGTGAGGTTCCCACCAGCGCCGCCGCAGTCCTCGCCGCCAAAGAAGTCGCTCCAGAAGCCGCGGTTGTAGGCTCGCCATTCAAGAAACAGCGCGCCAGTCTACCTGGCTTCGATGAAGGCGTGCGGTCGAATTTAGGGTCCGCGCTGGCGAACGCCTCCTCGTCATCGGCACTAGCGGGCGCACCGGTACTACAGCCACGCAGCATGAGCGATAGCAATGCATCTGGCCAAAGTGCGGGTATAACGGCGAGCTCTCTCGGCACGAGCTCGGGCACCGTGATCAAGCAGGAAGAGAGTACGATGGAAGAAGACGAAGAGCTTTGATGGCTAGTGAATGGGCAGCGGATGATGGGGTGAAGAAACATTCCTATTATTGCTCCGATGCCTCCCCTGCGCCCTTCGTACGGAGTCTCCTAGAGAAGAGCCTGGGGAAAAATTTTCCTGTAGCATGCACTGGAAAGTGAATCGATAGTGGAGAGGGCTCGATTTGTTCAATCAGTCATATCCGTTGCAAGAAACCCTTCAAAGGGGGTTTTGGATGGTTGCATGTTGTGTTTCCTTCACTTTATACTTTCTCTTCCTTGATCCTCAGCGGAACGGTGGATCGAAGTACTATCCCTGCTTCTGCCGATGCCGCTGTACCAGAGATGAGAAGAGAGAGGATGTCAGCGTTTTCCCCTATCGGCATTCTAGTGGTGATGCGGGAACGCTATTAACGATGAAAACTCGAAATTCGAAAGATGGATAGGATACGAGCGTGAAATATCATGAAGAGAAAGAATAGGCAAAAACTTGGAAAGGAGAGTCGAAAGAGTGGCGCGAAAAATTGATCCAATTGTAACTGGCTGGCAGTGAGAGTAGGTCATTTCGCCGATCAACGGTTGAACAGGGCCGGGCGGTGGAAGCTCGACTCTTCTCTTATTTCTTGGAAAGATAAAGATGACCCTGTCATGGGGATGATTTCACTGCTTCTCAGCTGCCTCACTACCCCGAATGATGATGGGAAGTTTGTTTCATATATCCGCCGTCGCAATTTCTTTTTCCTTTTTCCAGTCCTTCATGTACTACTTCGAGAAGCGACACAGCTTTCTGCTATGCTTGGAATGGCGTGATAGGGTTTTAGGCGAGAGGGGAATACGCGCTCAATGTATGTTAAATAACTACAGGCGGTTCACATGAATGTTTGAGCGTGGAGCAAGTATTGCTCGGGCATTTTGGTGTTATTGATGCTGTGGAGTGATGAAGAGGGCTAGAGAATATTGACATGATCCCAAGAGAAACGCAGGCCCGGGCAGAAGCAGAGATGAGATAGAATTCTGGTATACATTGTCTTAAACAAGATTTCAGTGTGTGCTGGGAGGGAGGAATGATAATACAATGACAAGGAAATGAAACAGGTCTCTATGGGTATTGAAACGTGCTGCCCTACGTTTGGTTTGCCAAATCAGATGTTTAATGTACAGGATGTTGCCGTCCGGGTGAAAGTCTTGTGTGAAACTGATGCCTTGAACGACATGACTCTTTCCTTTGAAGAAAGTGTATGAGGTAAAAGATTATCGGGAAGAAGCAAAGAGCAAATGAGCCTAAGAAATGACAGAGCAATAGGAAACAGATTAGCCAAACCGTCGAACATCCATCCAATCCCTCTCGCTCCGCGTTGCGCCATCAAACGATCATGAGAGATTTCCTGATAGCCCTGGACTCCCATTGTAGGCGGTTTCCCTCGTCGAGAATCTCAAACAAAGCGACTCTCTCGTATCTGTAGCCAGCTGCCTCACCTCCCAGGAGCCTCTTCCTCAGCACGAGCCCAGTACGCTTCGCAGCAAGGAGAAACGTTAGGACATTCCCCTGTGCGACCTCTAGTCCTGGTGCGTCCACATCGACCGTGAGGGCGAGCTCAAAAGTTTGCCCTTGAACTCGCCCGAGTGGCGAAGCAAAAACTCTGCGGGAGAGATCGGACTTGTACCGATCTCCTTCGAAGAGGTCGTGTCGCGGGTCCTCGTGTTTCCAAATCTGAAGTTCCATGGTCGATCCAGCTGCTAGGATATAAGCCTCTGAGTTGAGCGTATCAGAAGGACTGAGCGTAGCCGGGTAGCCGTGTGTCTCAAGGACTCGAAAGTCGGAACGAATGCAAGGGTTCGAGCTTGTCGTGACTTGGCCAGTGATGGACGGCCACGACCAAGTCGGAGCATGGCGGCTCTCCACAGTTCTTGTATGGACAGGCTTGAGGCTAGCACATGTCCGGTGTGACTTCCAAAGCAGTGATTCATGGAAGCGGAGACCCTTCCAATGGCCATACAGGTATATCTCCTGTGCGAAGGGAGCGGCCGCAGCTGCAAGCCCGGCGAGCGCTGGCAGACGATCTCCACCAACGGTGACTTCACGACCGGAGTAGTGCTCGATAAGGGCCAGCCAGTTGCCAAGCAGATTGTTACGGTTGTCATACCTGCTGAGCTCGGATATGCGCTTTTCCTGTTGAGGTTCGTGTAAACGTGGAGGGAAGCACGGCTGGGAACGGCCGGGGTGGCACTCACACCGAACCTCGTGCTCACATTCCCAGGTCAGCCCTCCACTACCGAACCGCAGTAACCGTCGACTGAGAATCCATTCTTGTAAGGACCACGCCCGACGGAAAAGAGGATCGGATATTGGGGCATGATGCATGAACTTCTGGCCTTGGGATCCGGTCGCGTTCTGGAACTTGTAGATTGAGAGCTGGGTGGGACGGACATAGATTGGATTTTTGGACCCACGGGGGTTAATGACCACTCGCCCGGTTCGACCATTGTTCGAGGACTCGAATATTCCACCAAAGCAGTTGGTCGCTTTGTCAGCGGAAATGGTTACTGTTGCTCCCATGTAGATGTCTCGCATGCTTTCCGAGTGGCAATGCCAGTCTTCTTCACAATCTTGCAAGATGCAAAGCGAGTCGATCCACAGGTACCTCAGCCCGAGCCTGCGAGTGATAACAATGGCGTCACGGAACGTCTGCGGTAGAGAATCCAGAGAGATGGATTTCGTGCGGAGACTCTCGGTGGAAATGGTGCTCTTGATGGTCCTCACAGCAGCAAACTTGTCCCCCCAACAGTGACTTAGGGCGGCATAGTGTGCTTCTTCTCCGTTGGATTTGTGTAGTCGTGGGTGTTCGTCTTCAGGTGAGCCCACAAAAATCACACGTTTGGGCAGGGGACCCTGCCCTTGGCACCGCGCATGGTTTTCCCGGCAGTTTCGTAGCAGGTCGACGGCCAGCTGCATCTCGCGTGGCGAAGAAACATCGATTGGGACGTCACGAGCAGGTCCGATGAGACTCCAACGGCTCGGTGCACCTGCGTATCTCGTTAGTCGCTACGTCCGCCGAACCATAATAGCATAGTGGATCGCAGAGGATTTGACCCTTGCGACAAAAGACACTAGTCCCCACACATGTATGGTTGAAGTAGATACGGATGCAGTCTCGGCATGAAAATAATCCGTACGCAGGCTTCAACCATGCACGGAGACAGGGATGCTGCACCCTTGGACCATGAGCAGCTGAAGCATGCACGAATCGCTTCAGCTGCTCATGTAAGTAAAGTGCAACGTCTGGTGAGACAGACACGACGAGGGTAAAAGTCTTTGCAACCCACTAGCTGGGACCATCCAATCGAAATCTCGCTCACTACCATCATGGGTGTAGAATTCAATGTTGTGTTCTCGGCTCGTGTCGTCATTCGAGGTGTAGGAGAGGATGATTGTCGACGTGCCTTCGGTACCATTTCTGAATTCGATCTCAAGTCGGACTTGTGCATGGTCAGGCGGGCTCTCGTCGTCAAGGACCTGGGTCAGCCCCTGCCATAGGACTGAGCAGGAAGCACACCCAGCATCCTTGGATTTCCGGAGCTGGTGGACTTGGGAGGGAGGCGTGCACCCGTTTTTGGCGAATCGTTTCTGGAGGGCGGGTTTATTGAGGCCAAGACACACCGAGCACAGGCGCTGCTGGGTTGGTTAACTCGGCCGAGTGGGTCTGCAGGACGGAACTGCGGGGACCGGAGGGGAGTGGCTCCGGTGATCCGTCAAGGCGATGTTCAAAGAGCGGGATGACTTGCATGAGGGGATGGGTCCACTTTGGAGCAATGGTGAAGGCGGCGCCAGCGTCGACGAACTTTGCTTTGCAGCGGGGTCATTGAGAGAGAAGGGAGGCTTGGCCTGGAGGCGAACCGTCTTTCATCGCAACAATTTGTACGTCTTCACAAACGGTTGAGCAGCTGAAGGTGGACAGCACGTGTTCACCGCTTCGACGCATTGTCATGACCCTTGAAGTTCGCCACCGGAGACAGGCCTCAAAAGAGGAAGGATGCCTGGTGCAATTGCGATGCTGATTGAGAAATGCCACAGCGGACGGCGATCAGGTCGGCACTGCCCGCCCCAGGGTCCGTATTCGCAGCGCCATCGTGGGAGATGCAGCCATGACGATGCGGCTCGTCGGCAGCCACGTCACTGGAAATGACTTTAAGCTCAGCGCGAGGGCTCATCAGAGATCAACCGGAGCGGTAAGCGGTGTGAGGTTCAATTAGAGCACGACGCCATGAAGTCATCGACGAGCCCGTGCGCGCCTGCGCTCCCGCCCACAGCCCGCGGACGGGCAGACGGCGGGGGAGATTGCGCCTCGAAAGCGGCGGAACGCAGAGCGAGCAGCTGCGCGAGCACTCTGGCGGTCGGCAGCAGCTCCATTGGGCAGTGCGCAGCGCGCAGCGTTGGCCCTCATGCGCAAGCGTGTTGTCGCAAAGCGCACGGTAGCAGCGTTCCCTGGAGATGCCGGGACGCGCCATGCACCATGAAACGTCTTTCCGCCGCGTGACTGTGCGATGCGTGCAGTGGCTCGTGCAACCAACTCGCACTCTGCCAGCAAGCGCGCGGTGTGGTGAGGCTGAGACGTGCGAAGCGACGCGGCGCAGATCGTGACGATGGTTGGGGGTGGGATGGTGACATGGCGGAAGGCAAACTTCGTCCAGGCAGCGGTTGTTTGCACCGGCGCTGTGGCTGTGTGAGACGCTTAGGCGGGCGCAAGGCGTCGCGTCGGCGCGTCATGCCGCCCGCTGCCCGCGCAGGGTCCAATTCCTTCGCCCTCCCCGCACCCTCGGAGAGCAAGCAGTCCCTCAACCTCACCAGTCTTGCCCAAACCCACCCAGCAGCCGCCAGCAGCCGCCAGCAAACCACCCATGGCCCCCGACCTGAACTCGGTGCCTCCCTCGCCGCGCCTCGCCCAGGCGTCGGCAGCCACGATCCAGCCCTCCGCGCCCGCACCTTCGCACGGCAGCAGCCACCACGCCCTGCCAGCTTCCACCTCACACCCCTCCTCGCGCCGCGCATCCCAGATCTCGCCCATGAATCCTCCGCCGCTCCCGCTCGGCGCAGCTGGGAACGGCTCCACTCCGACCTCGCAGCCTCAGTCGCAGACCACATACCAGCCATTCCCGCCGCTGAGCCCACACCTGCCCGGCACCGCTCCTCGCGGCAGCATGGATGAGGCCGGTGTTCCCATGAGGCACCCGCGCCCCTTGACAGCCGCTGAGCTGCACCACGAGCTCGAGCTCGAGCAAGAGGCCGTGGTGAGTGTTTGCCTGCCCCTTTCTCCCTCCCTCTCTGTCCCCTTGATCCCCGCACTCCTATTGCAAAAAGCATCGACACGGCCGCGCCGCTAATCTCCCGACGTCGCGCAGGTCAACCGCCTCACGCGCGAGCTCAGCGCCCTCCGCGCGCACTCGGCATCCGTCGCCAGCTCCGTCTCGTCGACCAGCACCTCCGCGCACCACCATTCCAGCAACCCCCTCCTCTTCGAGGCCACCGACCCCTCGGCCGTCCACGCCGGCGCCCTGACCGGCCCGACTCACCCCACGGCCTCGCGCCGCCACCGCAGCTCCAGTAGCGTCAGCCGTGCGTCCCAGCCGCACCGCTGGTCCGTGTCGAGCCAGAGCCAGGGCCAGGGCCAGGCGCAACCACAACAGATCGACGGTACGGGTAGCGGGGTGATCAGCGGGGCCAGCAGCACCTACGCGGCCGGCGTGGGCATGGCGCGCAGCCCGAGCCTCGGTGTGGGAGCGAGCGCTGCGACGAGGTTCGAGGAGGCGGCGCTGCACAGACAGGAGCTCGAGGAAGCCAAGAAGGAAAACGAGCTGCTGAGGAAGCGCATCAGGGAGCTGGAGTCTGAGCTGCGGGGTCCGAGATCCAGCGGAGCAGGCCCGCCGGCGACGACCTCACCCAGAGAGACGAGCCAAAGCCGAGGCGTCCGGAGAGACGAGGCTGTTGCGTCATGAGGTAGCTAGCATGCGGCGGTACGGAAGACGAGAGGAAGAGGGAAATGGGAGCCCATGTTCGGCGTCAAGGTTTTTGGGGCAAGGAATCACGGACTGGTTTCGGCTGCGACTTTGGTAACAGGAGAGCCCGCGTTGCTCCCTGAATCATCACTTTGTATGGCGTTGGGCGCACCTAAGTTTACCGGCCGAATGCGTCAGGTAACGCATAGCAAACTAGTTCGGTGTGATTGGAGCAAATTCAAGCTATTTCAATTCGTTTTCATCACCTACTTTCCTCAACATGACAAGGAATGGAAGCTGTTATGATACAAGTACGACAAGTCGCCGAACCACTGCTTCTCTGAAGCTCGTTCCACGAGTTCTGCGGCATGGGTCGAGATTGGGATAGGGGGGAGGGGGGGGGGTGGAAGAACGACTACAAGTCATTTGGTAATCTACTGTGCATTTTTAACAAAGCCGTAACTGATGCAGCGAGCCTCAGAGGTTCAGCCATACAGCACCATACCGCACATGGCTTTCGCGATGACTGTTGCGCCTATCATCAGCCTTCGTGCACGAATTAGTCGGGCAACCATTGAGGAAGATAGGACTGGAAGAGACGAATGCCACAGAGAAAAAATAATAATAACAGACACAGCGCATCGTCAGGAATAGTTCCCAGTATTTCTCGGCCAGCAAACACCACACTCTGAAGAGCAATGAAATATGGGCAAGCTGGAATCGGGAAGAAACATTCTGCCCTCTTTACACAAAAGAATACGCCTTAAACCATGCCAGGACGCACCGTTCGTTTGATATTCCCCCAATAGTACCGTTCGCCGTTGGCCAAATAAAAGATAAGAACCCCTCGTATCTTCCAGAACCTAGTGAAAATCCACGGCATAGCCAAATCCTCATGTCCTACAAGCTGGAGGGAAAAAACATCTGAAGAAGTGAAAAAAGGTTGACCACCCCTGGAGCGTGAAAGGTATAGCTTGGGACTAGGAGGATAATGTAGTGCGAGACCTCATTTATTAGAGCAGAAAAATTATTCTTCTGAGAAACAGGTGCTCTACCCTCGGGATCCCGGCGACTTTTTGGAAGGGAGGACGAAAGATATGTCTAGTCCGTATACATAGACTCAAACAAGTAGATGACGCCGAAAACCAAGAACGCGATGGCGCCACCGAGAGTAACTGGGGAATATTAGTATATGTAATCGATTCATTGAAGCCAGGCAATGACTTACCAACACGCATGCTAACTTTGCCTGCAATAGCCCTGCCGCCTATGACGGCGGCACTGGTGCACAAACCGTGTCCGACAATGGCACCCAGGGTGACAAACCAATAATCTTGACCAGCAGCCATAGCGATTGTGGCGATCTGGCTCCTGTCTCCCCACTCGCCAAGGAAGGTCATCACAAAAGTCTGGACCCAGGCCGGGCTGAGGAGCAACGAGAAAAGGTTATTCAGACCGCCAAGAATGTTGGAGAGGCTTGCACCAGAGGGTGAAGGAGACCTGGCAGGCGAAGACGAGGGACTACGATGAGTGGGCAGACGGCTGTTCGACCTTGAGCGGCGGCCGCGGGTGCCCGCTTCGAGAGCATACGGTGAAATGGACGAGCGGCGCCTCTTCCCAAGGTTATGCTCCTTCTCCTCCAGCTCGGCCTCGACTTCCTTCATTTCTTCGCCGACGCCCTCATCAGGGCTCATTGCAAGACCCTCGCGGAGCAGCTTGGCACCAAAAACGAAGAAGAGAACAGCGGCCGCAAAGCTCGTGAGCCACTTGGGCAGGAGCGTCGGCACAGCGTGACCAAGAACGGCTGAGAGGACCGTCATGGTGATGAGAGCGGCGAAAGCGGCGGTAAACACCACGACACGAGGGTGGCGCATAGCCATGAGGGCCGCAACGAGGAAGGTCTTGTCGCCAATTTCGGAGAAGATGATCATCATGAAGGACAGAACGAAGGAGTGGAACGGTTGAATAATGCCCTCTTCGTCATCAGAATCCACATCAGTCGTGGAGGTTTTTGAGGTCGTTGAGGAGGACTTGGAGGAATCATAGGTATCCTTGGGCATGCTTGGAATGACGGGCTTGGAGGAGCTGCTGTCGCCGTGGGGCGTATCCGGAAGGTCTGTGGGTTTCTAGGTAATCCAACGTCAGCTCAACTTCCATGTGCGGCCGCAAAGCCTGAGTTGCTAAATGGGGCTACGAACCGCCAAACCAGCGGCACCCTTCGCCCTCTCAGAGGTCGAGTCTTCGTCATCGCTATCGTCTGCAGTATCCACGCCCATGCGCTCCTGTTCGTCGTTGGACAACGGGCGCTCCTCATCCGGCGAAACCGGAACCTTGCCGACCTTTGCGCCCTTCTCTGCTTCCAGCGCCTTGTGTTCCTTGGTCCTCTGCGACACCCCCCCCTCAGTTCCAGTAGTACCCTTCTTGGGCGAAGCGCGGTCGGGATCGTCCATGACGCCAATGTCTTTTTCCGCGAGGAGTTCAGAGGACACCTTCTTCTGGTCCACGGTTATCTCGTCGGAAAGCGATTCGCGAGTGGTCGTCTTCGTGCTGTCGGCGGCCTTGGCGGCGATGGGGGAATTTTCGACAACAAACGGGCCGGCGTGAGGCTTGCCGTCAAGGCCGTCCACGGGCGCGTCTTTGGTGCCGACGTCGAGTTTGCTCGCAGTCGCGGTAACGTCCTTGGAGGACTCGCGGACTTTCTGGACGCCAGTTCCGTCCACGTCGACCACCAAGGCGGCCGAGAGGACGGGCAGCAGGAGCAGCAGCGCTGCAGCCTTGTCTTTTCTGAGAATCATGACTTTCGGCAGAGGTCAAGGGGGAGGAGAGAAAAGCCGGGCGTCGCTGACGCAGGGCTGCGCGCAGCTTGGCGGCGGAAGGAAAGCTGTGGGAAGCGCGAAACGGGTGAAGGAGCGAACGTCGGCGGCCGATGGTTAGGACGGGCCCCGGGGAAAGAAAAGAAGGGGATTAGGAAGTGAAGCGGGGGCGTCTTGGGTGATGGTGGTGCATCAGCTCGGTTGAGCGTGAGACTTAGGTGGCTTCGGCGGCGCAGGAGAAAGTCGGCCTCTGGCCAGGATGACAGCGGAGGCGGTGCAGGGGCTACGCAAGTTGCGCAAGGGGCTGGCAGCGCGGAAACAGCGAGGCTCGACCAGGGCCTTTTCCGCAAATTGAAGCTGCCGCGATTGGGCCAGCGTCCAATGGACCTATGCCTGTGGGCGCCGGGCCGTCTCCTGGAGCGCGAGTGACGGCGCGTGGGCTCTGCGCTGCGCAGCTCAACGGCTTTGCCTGTGCATCGCCTCCCGAGTCCCCGCCGGCGCGGAAGCCGAGAGTCAAATCTCCCGCGCGCGACGGTTGCACGATCGCCTTCGAGACGGCGCTGATCGCCGCAAGGGTTGCTGCTTTTGTCGAGCACTGCCAGATCCACAGGCCTGCCTGAGGCAGCATGACTCGTCGCATGCGATGCGGCGCCGTCATGTGCACACGCAACCTCGACCTTCCCGCGCGCGTCGGACATGCCCACATTGCTTTTGTCGCAACACCGCAACACTGCTGCCCGCTCCACGGCCTCCTGACCTCTTCGTCACTGCCCGGCCGTACCATTGAGTGCCGCCCGGAAGGCCGTGTTCGCCGACCGAACCGGGCCGGAAAGAGGGCGCAGCAGCTCGCACCGACGCCACCATGGCGCAGTCCCGACGCGTCCGGTCGCGTGCGACCCCGCAACCAGACGTCGACCTCTCACACCAACAGCAGTCGACCCGCATCACTCGCAGCCAAAGCCGCGACCCCGACATCTTACCAACCCAGCATGGCACAAATCCCTCGCGAAGAAATGGCCGTGGAGCCAGTGCCGAGAGCATTGATAGCGTCGACACCGACACCGTCCGCGCCCGCGCCACTCGCTCATCCCGGAGAGCTGTAGAACGAAGTGAGTGATTTTTGGCCTTGTGCGTTGGGTTAGGGTTGCAAACAATTGCATGATGCAGCTGTCCTTCGTTTATCCTTCCCGTCTCTGATGGCCCAGAATCTTCTCGTCGCCTATAATCTGTATTTTTAGCGTGCAACCTTACTAACCCGTACCCTCTCAAGCCCTCCCTGTTGTCGAAGAAGATGCGGCTGTGCAGTATCCGGCTCTTCCACAACCAGTAGAAGCAGTTCCCGATGACGACGAGGCAGATTCGCCTCTGTACGTTGAGAACGACTACATTGCTCATCAACCGCCCCGAGCTCAGTCCAACGTCTCCGGCACTACCGCAATCTCAACCGCCCAAACCGTCCATGACCCTGCCGACCTAGACAACGACTTGATGATCGAGTTTCTTGAGGACCTGTACACGGGTGCAAGCAAGATTTTGACAATCATCGCCCCCAAGAGTGCTTCCACTGAGCGCCTTGCATCTGTTGCTTCTGAAGCTGCCGATGCAGACTCACGGACTCGACGTCTCCTGGAGAAGCGTGCCAAGCACTTCAGAGAAGCACGCGGAAACTTTGGAGATGGTGATTTCATCAATGTGGAAACCGTGCTGGCGTCCTTGGCTCATGGAGAAGCGATGCACGAGCCGGATGTGCATCGCCTCGATGCCATTCTCTACATGGCCAATGTAGCAGCGTTGGCAAGCCAAATTGCCACCTTACCCGAAGATAGAAGCGCTATGTTTCATAGCCTCCTACTTCTTGACCACACCTTCCCCCGTAACCTGATTGGGTCGTTAGAGCTGGAGGATGGCGCTCTTGGAGAGGAGACATTTAACCTCGCCCTGGATATTCGCACCCAGTTTGCTATTTCTTTGCTGATGAACGCCAGAAATGAAGTAGACTTCGATCCAGATGCATCTCTCAATTCTGTCTTTTTTGCAATCCCCGATGATGAAGATGGAGAAGGCAGTGGGGCTAGTCACCTCCGGGGATGGGATATCTTGGGTCTCGGCTCGGGCGATGACGATCTACCCAAGCCTATCAAAGAAGCCGTCACGAAGAGGATCGACAAAATCAGGGGAGCCTTCCGGGAAGACCAGGAAGCTTTGCAGCAAAGGGACTATATCGATGCAGAAACGCTCGAGTTGGATTTTCCCTGGCATGGTTTTGTTATAGGCGTCTTGGAGTGGGCGAGCGTCTGTAGTGTCGAGTTCGAAAACGAGGTTGGCGGTGTTCGCGGCATTCACGAAATTCAAGAGTCTCTGCAGCAATACCTAGAGGCGGAAGACACTCAATATTCCGGAGAGCGCAAACAGATCGCATCGCAGAGCCAGGGCGAATCTACCGCCGAAACAGAGTCCCAAAGCCAACAAATCCCCGGGACAAACCAAAATGTCGCCAGGCACTGGAAGAAGCGTTGGGACCGTTTCAAAGGCCAAGGCATCGAAGTAGCGGAAGATCCAAGGGAAGCCAGTGCACCTAATGGCGCCGTCCCTCAAACAGCCGAGGAGGACTATCAGCCGCCAATCACCGAGGAAGAGGATGACTCAAGGACATCTACCAATCCTCCAGCAGGATCCAGTATTATGCAGGAGGATCTTGAGAGCCTACGACTACGCGAAAAACAAAACAAGGAGAACATGCGGAGAACAATGACAAACTCAAGCCCCTCTGCTCGCAAGTCGTTCTACGACAAACAAAAAAGCGCAACGCGGGTTTCCTGGGACGAACCGGAAGTATCATTTCCAACGGAGTTCGCCTCGTCCAGTAAACGCCCAAAGAGGAGAAGGCGTGTCGAGACCGAGTCCGACGAGGAAGAGGAGTTTGAAACGCGCATCTCGAACAACAAACGGAAAGCACCCGTCAAGAGAAGGACACGATATGATTCATCCTCAATTCCGCCGCCATCACCGTCCGCACGAGGTGAAACGAGCCGTCGAGCTGTCCGTACTCGACTTGAGGAAGGAGAAGACTACGACGGCCGGGACGAAGTTCCGCCGTCTCCCGCCGAGCAGTTCAAGACCGTGAACCAACAAGCCAAGGCTGTGAGCGGCACATATGGCATTCGGGTCGGCAAGGGACGCAGGCCATGGTCACGCGAAGAGGTCAATGTCCTCATGGAACTTGTTGCTACGTTCAAAAATTCAGCGCAGCCATGGGCAATGATCAAGAGTACGGATTCTGCTTGCGACGACGTGTTGAGGCACAGAAGTAACAAAGACCTGAAAGACAAGGCCATCAACATGATTTACAACTACAGATTGTGTGTTATACCCCGTTTCCTCCCTTTTCATATTCCCTTCTCTCACTTGCTCGCTGACCGACTACCGTAGGGCTGGTCAAGCATTGCCGACAGGCTTCGAAGTGTTCAGGCTACCGGCTAAACTCCAGGAGAAAGTAGAAAAGCGTCGAGGGGTTCTACCTGAGGATTCGGAAGAGTGAAAGAATATGAGGTTTCTGCATGGAACAAAAAATATCTCCGGGTTTGATATCTTTAACAAGGCGTTGGGAGCCATGATTAAGGGTTTCGCCGCCAACTTCATGATGGCGAAGTTGTCGAGCCAATTCATGTTGATGAGCGTCGTTCTTTCACTCTTTTTTAAGATATTATTAAGTTATAGACACGGTACTTTTTCGTTGACCTCATTGCTTGAAGTTCGTATGCGCAGAGCTAGGAGGAGAAAGTGACCAATACCACTTGCTGTTTTTTTTTTTCTCGCCTCCCCCCCTCTCCAGCTTATATCCTTACTGACTGACTGCAGTTCCCAATGATGATTTGAGAGAGGCAAGGTCGAATTATAGAACATGCTACAGTGTGGAGTGAATGGACCGGTCTAGAACATGTGCACATATCAAGCACTCATGCACAACTCGAAGCTCTAACCTAACGCTTTGCCAAGCACCACGCTGTCACAAGTATCTCTAAAACTACCTTGACAGCTAGCCAACTTTCGCACAGACGCTGCGGTACTGTTGCGAAAAATGGGATCGATATTCCCTTGGCATGCAACCATAACAAAGGTGAGGGCATTGATCAGATATCTCGGTCGTTTATGTCTTTATTTAATTGTGCTGGCTGCTCAGGCCTCCATCAATACCTGAGAGATCCACCTCCTAATCGAGGTAGTTCACAACTCCGTTGTGGTCTAGGGGCTAGGATTTGCCGCTCTCAGTCTTCCGAGAGTCATCTCACTTACAAGTGCCGGCAAGGCCCGGGTTCGATTCCCGGCGACGGAAATTCTCTTTTGCATCGTGGTAATGCTATCTCTTTTGCACGTAGGAATATCTTACTACTGCGTTGGCGTTTGGGGGGGTTTTCTAAGAGTCCGGTTCGGAAGACGGACCGAGCGCCGAGCAGACACACCAATGGTATGATGGCGGCCGGGCGGGACGGTGAGTCCTCAGGGACAGAACTTATAGCCGGGCCGGAATGGACTTAGAGGCAAGCCATGCACACGCGTGCCTGCATATGCAGTTCCTTCAATCTACGCTGGTCAGGTGAAGTAACATTTTCCCCTGAGCAGTGCCGCATAATGCTCCTCTCACCGAGCCCGTACGGAGCCTCAAATGCCACCTAATGATGATGCACATTTTGTCACAACAAGTAGAAGTCGGAACTGGGAACGAAACGACCAAGGGGGACTGCGTACTTCCTCATATATAGAGGCGTGATATGCAGGATATTCGATGCTGGAGCTGAAGTTTGCAGCGCCACAAGTGAACTAATATTGCGCTACTTACTTTGAGCACGAGAAATTGTTCGGGTTGAAAAAGTTCGCGTGCTTTACTGTCTGTTATCGTGTTAACGAGCTGCCTGGGTAGAAAGTGCATGTCAAGCTATATCAAGAGTTGGTGGCGGAAATGTTTACCGAGACGAGTAAGCTAGCCCAGAAACCGTACCATTTGCCGCGTCATCTCGGTCCCAAAGTAGAAGTTTATACTTGAGATTCTCCACGTCACCACAGGCCTCGAATCTATCCCCCAATCAGTATTTGAGTCGTGGGACGAAGTCAAATCTTTACTTACTTGTGACAACCTCTGTGTAGGAGCCAGTCCATCCGCTTCTGTCTCCCCCGTGTCACTCCTGGCCATCGCACCCGCCGCCGTCGATGCACTGTCTCGGACGGTTGGATTCCATGCACCGGGATCTGCGCTTGCGTCCCAGCCAAGTGTCTCCTCGTCATCATCGCCGTAGCCTGCCGGGTCCCAACGCGCGTCCTCATCACCATAGGGCACAAAGAGTGATTCTTCATCCTCGTTAGCATGCATCTTCTGCTGCGAAGGTCGTGTTGCCGAGCCGATGGGCGCTCTGCGTTGTTTGTTCGAGGCACGAGAGACGGGCGCGGCTGGGGGAGGCATTGCCGTAGTACGCTGCCTGTCAGCGGCAGAAGGCGTTGACCGTGCAGTTGTGGGATGCACTCCGGATGTAGTAGCAGAGCGAGTAGATATCACACGGGGAGTGGTGCTGCTGCTGTTCACTTGATCTTGCGGGTCCCCGATTGTCATGAGGGTAAATTCACAGAGAACACCAATGCCAGCCATATCGTAACTGAACTGTAACGGGCGCGAAGGTTGCGAGTAGTAAGCCTGTATGGAGGCGCGCAGATGGTGGGCGTGGGTGACGATGGCTTTGAAGTCTTTGACCCTGATGACGATGTGCATCTGCTCGGCAGCGGCGAAGTGCTCGAAGTCTGCCGTACTAAGCGAAACGGCAGTCTGAAGGGGTTGCTTGAGAACTTCTGTGGGATGGTTAGCGTAGCGGCGCGGGCATTGAGAATGAGCTTACGGCTTGCCTTTGTCATTGGTGATCTTTTCAGTGAAGCTTGTATATGTGACGCGCCCGTTCTCGGCGTAGATGTCCAGCTGCTCAGTCTTAGGGCCGAAGTAGTCTATTGCCTCTCTCAGTGCCGAGGAGTGAATTGACCAACGGTTCTGGGCGGACTGCTTGTCAAACAATGCGTGCATAACCTCCACCGACTCGTACGTCAGCTTGTAGGTCTTGGTGACCCCTGTAGGTTGGTGAGCCAGCAGTCTCTATGGAAGTGGCGCCGGCGCACATGCCTTGGTCGGAGAGCATCTTGATGATCAGGCGGCATTCTGCTTGATCGGGTCTGTCTTGTAAGCTGACTTCGCACCGGTCGACGGTGGTATCCTTTCCACGCGGATCAATGATACGGCCTTTGAAGACGGAGAGGAGCGCCTAAAAATGAGTTAAGCCGAGGGTCACACGTGTGGTGGGGACGTGTGGCGTGCCTTGTTGTAGACACGGCAGGTGAAGCGCCCGTCTACGTTTGCTGTGGCAGGGGCAAACTTGTAGGACGAGAAGAAGGCGGAGGAGTCGAGAGCGAAGGAGGCATATGCGGACTTGGACGAGTTGAGGGCTGTAAGGGAGAGCTGGAAAGGGAAGTCAGCGGCGGATTGCAGCCTGAGAAACAAGGCCAAAACGGACCTTCTCGCGGCGGGCCTCGAGCGACACAGCGTCGCTGAACTTGGCGAGGCAGACCAGGGCATCGTGCAGGGCGGCCAGAGCCTCGGGCCGCAGGGTGAAGTTTAGGACGACCATTGTGCGGGGTTGGCGGGGCGGCGTTGGGTGAGGAGCGAGCAGGCAGGCAGCCGTGTCGCCGGCGCGTTTGGGCGGGAGACGCGGCGCGCGTGCACACGGGAGCTCGAGGCAGGCCCCAGACACAACAAGCCCGGCAGCTTCGTCCCCATCCCGGCACCGCTCGCACCTCACCCGATTTTCCGCGTAACCATGCCGCTCGAGGTGCCCGAAGATGTCCTGTATATCCTGTGCGACAAGCTCGCCGACGCCAAGGACTTTGACACTCTGTTTCAGTGCGCTCTCACAGCCAAACGCTTTGCCGTGCCAGCCCTGACCTGTCTCTATCGGTATCTGCTTCCAGCACCACGTTATCGGCACCAGTGGCTGACCAGTCGCCAGCCATCACGATGCTTCTCCTGTTATCGGCGGAGGCGGAGATGGCCAACCCCCTCCCAAGGTGCAGAAATGGTCCATCATGTGGCGCTCCATCATTGCCGCCAGCCTCGAGGTCACCGCCTTTCCTTATTGCCGCTATATCAAGACGCTCGATTTCCGCGACCTTATCGTGCTCCTGGAGCTCTTCCAGGACCCTAGGTTCACGCGCAAGGACCTCATGAAGTAGGTCGACCCGTCCATTCGCTTCGCCGTCAGCCTCCGTGGACGGCGGACCGAGTCTTCTTGCACTTCGGCCTTCGGCCGATGCGTTTACTGATTTCCCAATAGAGATTTCTTTTCCGGAGAAATGTCTGCTTTCAAGATCACGAACAAGGTTGGGAGGAAGGGTGTCCTGGATGTCGGCGCCACTGTCGAAGCCATCGGAGACGGTACGCTCAGCTCCCTCCTGCCCTTTGCATTCATCCATTGACGCAAGACAGCCATGACCCCCCACACGCCGTTTGTTGAGGTCATCACAGGAAACGGCAAGTAGTCCCGTGCGATCTCTTCGATAGCTGGCTGATGCTACTTTACAGTCAAGGCCAGCGCACTCATCAAGTGGCCGCCGAAGCTCCCGCGATTGACTTCGCTGCAGCTGTGGGCGGGCGATGCCCTCAGCGATCCCAAGGCACAAGATGCAATCATCGAGCACTGTCCGAAGTTCAACGCTCTCAGCTTCTACATCTGGTAAGAGGTTCAAACTACACAACCATCAGAAGACATTGACGTTTCGGAAAGGATTGGCGAAGCCGCCGACCAGCAGCTCGCTTCTTTCCTCTCGGGACTGCAGCCTCAACGGCTGAAATACTTCGAAACCATCAGTCATGCTGACCTCGGCGAGGGAGCATTGCTTTCATTAAGCTCTCATGGCGAGTCGCTGAAGAATCTGAAGATGGCCTTGCGGCCCAGTACCATACCACATCTCGGTCTGCTCAAGACTTGCACAGCGCTCGAGAGTCTAGAGCTCGAATACTCCAATTCCAGGGAGAACCCGCTTGACCTCGAAGCAACGCAGCACGATATCTTCGTCGAGGTCCAACAGTGGCTTTGCGAATGCAAGAGCATGAACAGCCTGCAATTTAGCGGTATTTTTTCTGCCTTAAAGCTCGTTACACCCGTCCTTCTTCAGCACGACATTAAGCTGTCTCACCTCAGTGTCGACTGTTATGAGGCGCACAGTGCCGCGGAATTCCACCGAGCTTTGACCAACCAACCAAGCCTTCAATGGCTCCAGCTTACGGCGGACTCGGATGGAATGATCAGGGACGATATAGATATCGTGGTCGAAACACTGACACAACTAGGACAGTTGAGACACATCAAGCTCATTGGCGTGTCGGACTATTTTAATGACGAGCACATTATCGCGCTTGCGAAGAGTTTGCCCCATCTAGATGATGTCTACTTCACCGGCCTTCAAGTCGGTGATGCCATTCTTCCTGAACTCGCCAATCTCAGGGACCTGCGTCGGCTCGAGGTTGCTTCGATCAGTACGTTTACCTTTGAGGGGCTACTGGAGTTTGCAGAGCGGCTCGGACCTGGAAATAGAGGGATCGAGTTCAGAGTGGAAGCTGCCGCGCCGGAAAGCAAGCTTTCGGACGAAGAACTGCAAGTCGTCAACCAGCAGTTAACATCCAGGGTCGATGGAAAACTGGAATGGGTGCTATACAGAGGTATAAATGTCGATGAGGTCGAATGGATGGCGTTGATCCTGGCTTTCATCTTTGGACGGAGCTGACGCATCACAGATCCGCAGGAGGAGCAAATTGACGAGTCCGATTCGGATTGAGCCCCGCTGTTGGGGGACTTTCATTCGCAAAACCTTCCACGGAAAATCAAGTCTTGTCAGAAGGGCACTTTGGTACAGGCGTTGGAAAATGCACACAGGCGAAAAGGGATAGGATCAAGGGTCTCGGGCGCTTTAGAGTGGCAATGGAGCGAGATGCAGGTCTACAGAGATTCAGTCAAAAAAAAAAAAAAAAAGGCCGGCACGAACAGCAGAAGTAAATGGCAGCCTGATTGCTTTGTTCTTAGGGAGTTTGGTAGGGATGGGTGGTTGCCTCGAGCTGTGCTGGAGGAGTGCATGACGTCCTTGTCTCGCTACTCGGTGCGACAGCGGCGGGGTCGCGCCTTCCTTCAGTTACTAGGAGAACAAACTTTTCCCAACAATCACCCAAGCCCCAAACAACGCAAGATTCGGAGGCATGGCTAGCAACCGGATCCTGGTTATAGCCGGCTCGGACAGCTCTGGCGGAGCGTACGTGCAGCTGAATCACCCGTCCTGAACTTCTCTCCGCCGGTGTGCCCGCCGCCTGCGTGGCACCACCACGGCTTCTCTGACTTTCGCTGTATAGTGGCCTCGAGGCCGATCAGAAAGTAATTGCCGCTCATGGCTGCTATGCCATGACGGCCACGACCGCCCTCACGGCACAGAATACGCAGGGCGTCTACGACATCCATCAAATCCCCTCGTCATTCGTCCGCAAGCAGATCGACGCGTGCATTGAGGACATTGGCGTTGATGTCGTCAAGACAGGTAATTTTATTTGGCAATCCCATCCATTCAAGTCCCGCATGACTGTGGTTTGACTTTTCTATCCCTTGTGTTCAGGAATGTTGGCGTCGGCGTCGACGATCGAAGTTGTTGCCGATGCGTTGAAGAGACACAACGTCCCCATGTGCATCGTCGACCCTGTACGTTGACAGACCCCTGAAATGCGTTCCTGGAAGGAAACGCCCCGTGCTTCGGTTCATTGACAGATCTATCATTCAGGTCATGGTCTCCACGAGCGGGGCTCAGCTGCTGCCCGAAGATGCCGTGGAGATCCTAATCACGCAACTGCTACCCGTCACCACGCTGCTGACGCCGAACCTTCCGGAGGCTCAGCTCATTCTCAAAAGTGCCGGCAATCAAGTCGGCGAGCCGCAAAGTGTCGACGACATCGTGGCCATGGCGAAGGCCGTGCGCGAGCTTGGTCCGAAGTACGTCCTGCTCAAAGGTGGCCATGTGCCCTTGACGAAAGATAGGGTAGTGTCCACGAGTGAGGTGGACCGCCATATTGTTCTGAATGTGCTTGTCGGTGGAGAGGAGGACGTCATATTTGAAACGGCATACCTGAAGTCGAAAAACACCCATGGCACAGGATGCTCGCTGGCTTGTAAGTACAGTTCCATTTTTTTATTTTTACGGATTGCAATTTTAACATGGCACCAGCGGCAATTGCGTCGAGATTGGCTTCTGGTATGACTATCGAGCAGGCTGTGAAAACAGCCAACTACTACATTGAAGCTGGCATCCGTACCAGTAAAGACCTCGGCAAAGGTAGTGGGCCTATCAACCATTTTCATTCGATGTACTCGCTACCATTTGCGCCGTAGGTTTCTCTCATCCGAGGCTAAAACATTACATTGCTGACTATTCCTCAGCGGCCGCTTTCTCGAATACGTCCTCGACAGAGAGGATGTCAAGGATCCGTGGCAGAAGCACACGCATCATTCGTTCGTGCAAGGACTCTCCGACGGAACTTTGCCTGTTAGGAAGTTCAAGAACTATCTCGTTCAAGATTACCTCTTCTTGGTAATTGGCAATGTCCGGTCGTGTGGAGCGCTCCGCTGACACATTGGCAGATTCAGTTCTCAAGAGCAAATGCGCTTGCTGCGTACAAGGCGAAGAATCTCGCCGACATCACCAAGTCGGCCAGAATAGTCCAGCACATTCAAGAGGAGATGGGGTTGCACATCAAGTACTGTGAAAGCTTCGGTCTGACAAAGGAGCAGATCGAAAGCCACAAGGAGCACCCAGGTAGGTTGTCTCCAAGTTTCTAGAGGTCGTTTGCCATTGACACTGGGCCTAGCGTGCACTGCGTACACTAGATACGTGCTTGACGTCGGACAGTCCGAGGACTGGTTCGGCTTGCAGATAGCGCTTATGCCGTGCTTGATCGGGTATGGCCAGATTGCGAGAAGGCTGTATGACGACCCGAAGACCAAGCGCGAAGGCAACACGTACTGGAACTGGGTGGAGCAGTATGTCGCAGAGGACTACACAGACGCGGTCAAGGCCGGGCTGGAGATCATCGAGCAAAACGCAGTGCTGCAGTCACCGAGCAGGATAGAGCAGCTCGTGCAGATTTTCATCCACGCGACGAAGGTAAGCCGGCCCTCCTTTGTATGCATTCCAGAGTGCTGAGCAACTTGGCGCAGATGGAGACGGGCTTCTGGGACATGGGTTCTTTGTAGGGCGGGCGGTGGACAATGCAGGGCGCGCGCGACGAAGGGTTTTCGGCGACGGGCGCGGCAGATCGGCAGCTTAGGTGTTGGGAGGGGCGGCGCGGCATCTCTGGGGCGGATGACAGAAACGTAGCATAGCAGCGCAGTTGGTACCGCGGACCGCGGCGCAACCAGGCAGGCTCTGGGCTACTGGAACCGACGTTCTTGACATGGGCGCGCTGGCCGCCGAGCTGGTCGCGCGGCGTTTGGCCGCGTAGGGCTGTGCGCATCCAATCAGAGCGCTAGCGCCGCTGCCTAGGCAATTTTTCCGGCCCGAAGTTTTCTGCGCTGCCTTCGCCTCCCAGCCAGGGCTCCTGCCGCTTGCCAACAAAAAACACCACCCGCCCTTTCTCATCTGCTCCACTCCTCCCTCTCCTGCAAAACTCTTTCCCTCTTTCCATCCACGGCGCTGCGATTTGCTGCACCACTCTCCGACGCCCTCTCACTCTTGAGCGACTCGGAGCCTTCGCGCGCAGCCCACGATCCCTTTATCAGCCCCAGCCGGTCCCTACTGATCCAGCGACACCATGTCTTACGGCGGCGGTTACGGCGGTGGATACGGCGGCTCCCGCGGCGGCGGTAGCGGCGGCGGCGGCGGCGGTTACAGCAACGGGTATGATTCCTCGCGCTGCGCGAACAGCTACAACTCCAGTCACTATTCCAGCGGGTATGGCCCACCCTAAGGTCTAGATATTGGCAGTGGTCGTCTGCGCCCTCACTCTGCACAGCCATCGCCCCCTCTCCTCTCACCTTGTCTGGCGAACTCATGCAGCGAACTTCTGGCGCCTCTTGCGACGCGCTGGTTCTTCGTAACGCGTGAGTCTGCTAGGCGTCACCTTCTCTCACCCACGCATTTGACGCTTACTGACGCTCGCTTCACAGATACGGCGGTGGTAGCAACGGCTACTCCAACGGCGGTGGCTACGGCGGTAGCAACGGATACAGCGGCGGCGGCGGCGGCGGTGGATATGGTGGTGGCTACGGCGGCGGTGGCGGTGGCGGTGACAGGATGTCGAACCTGGGCGCCGGCCTGAAGCAGCAGAACTGGGATATCAACTCTCTTCCCAAGTTCGAGAAGTCTTTCTACAAGGAGCACCCCGAAGTCGCTGCCCGCTCCCAGAAGGAGGTCGACGATTTCCGCAAGGAGCAGCAAATGACCATCCACGGCAGCGATGTCCCTAAGCCCGTCACCACCTTCGACGAGGCTGGTTTCCCTGGATACGTCATGAACGAGGTCAAGGCCCAGGGTTTCGACAAGCCCACTGCTATCCAGTCTCAGGGTTGGCCCATGGCTCTCTCCGGACGTGACGTCGTCGGTATCGCCGAGACCGGTTCCGGAAAGACCCTCACCTACTGCCTTCCCGCCATCGTCCACATCAACGCTCAGCCTCTCCTTGCTCCTGGCGACGGCCCCATCGTCTTGATTCTCGCTCCCACCCGTGAGCTCGCTGTCCAAATCCAGACCGAGATCAGCAAGTTCGGCAAGTCCTCGCGCATCAGGAACACCTGCGTCTACGGTGGTGTGCCCAAGGGCGGTCAGATCCGTGACCTCGCTCGCGGTGTCGAGGTTTGCATTGCCACTCCCGGTCGTCTGATCGACATGCTCGAGTCTGGCAAGACCAACCTTAGGCGTGTTACCTACCTCGTCCTCGACGAAGCTGACCGTATGCTGGACATGGGTTTCGAGCCTCAGATCAGGAAGATCATCGGCCAGATTCGCCCTGACCGTCAGACCTGCATGTGGTCTGCTACGTGGCCCAAGGAGGTTCGCCAGCTTGCTTCTGACTATCAGACCGACTTCATCCAGGTCAACATCGGCTCCATGGATCTCTCTGCCAACCACCGCATCACTCAGATTGTTGAGGTGGTTTCGGACTTCGAGAAGCGTGACAAGATGGCCAAGCACCTCGAGCGCATCATGGATGACAAGAACAACAAGGTCCTCATCTTCACAGGTACTAAGCGTGTCGCGGACGACATCACCAGGTTCCTCCGCCAGGACGGCTGGCCCGCGCTCTGTAAGTTTTCCTTGGCGTTGATTTTCATCCGAACATGGACTGACAAACGCCCAGCTATTCACGGTGATAAGCAGCAGAACGAACGTGACTGGGTGCTGAACGAGTTCAAGACGGGCAAGAGCCCCATCATGGTTGCCACCGATGTGGCTTCGCGTGGTATCGGTATGGTTGCGATTGCTCCTGCACTTCCCTTCCCCCCTTGTCTTATGCTCTGTTGCGTGATCTGTGTGATGCTCTGCTCTCTATTCTCTCGTGCGCCTTCGCTTGCATTCATGACGTCCAGGGCTCTTTCTTTTTCTCGGTTCTCCTTCTGGGAATCTTGGTTCGCTGAGGCGAAGCTTGCTTCACTCATTTCCGTTTCTCTTCGTACCAGCCGGGTGCAGAGTCGGATAGGCTTTTTGACTTGCTCGAGCCGCCCTCCCAAGGTTTCCTGACCATGAGATGAGAATTACCACAGCCTTGCCGGCGCACCAAGGATGCCATGATCTTCCTTGCGCACAGAGAGTAGTGCATGCAACATACAGCAGCTTCACGCGATCGACACTAAAGATCGCTTGCTCGAATGACTTACCTCAAGGTTCACGCTAACTGATGCATGTCAAAGACGTTCGCAACATCACTCACGTCCTCAATTATGATTATCCGAACAACTCAGAGGACTATGTGCACCGTATCGGTCGTACTGGTCGTGCTGGTGCGAAGGGTACCGCCATCACCCTGTTCACCACGGAGAGTAAGTCTTGCCCCAGGTCTCCCCCCCCACGGAAGCCAAGCCACTGACTGTGCAACAGATGCCAAGCAAGCCCGTGACCTCGTCCAGATTCTCACCGAGTCCAAGCAACAGATCGATCCCCGCCTCCACGAGATGGCTCGCTACAGTGGCGGCGGCGGTGGTGGTCGTGGCTGGGGTGGTCGTGGACGCGGTGGCGGCCGTGGCGGTGGTGGTAGGTTCTCCCGCCGTTAAAGTCTGGGTCCGAACGCGGTCAGATGATAACAGGTCATCCCAGGTTACTCTGGTGGTAACGCAATGCCCCTCGGCCGCAGCAGGTGGTGAATCAAGAATTTGACAAGCCACGTACTGCGAGCACCGCGCGGCTACTTGACTTACGCACCATTGACCCTTTGCGCAGCCTAGTAGGCTTTGACTTGTAATAGATACCAGCGACCTCTACGATCGGGGCTGACGAGCCTCGGATCATGGAACAAAAAATCACGGCGTTTTCGGTTAGGTGTTTCTGCATAGAATAGGCTCTTTCTTGCCTCTCATCATCGGCGGCCGTCATCAATGACTTGAACCATCGTCGGGTTCTCTGTCTGATACACGGGACTGGTTTTCTCACGGCTTGATAGCTCCTGGACTAGTCAGGTTAAGAAGGGATGGATGGATGATGAGCAGATTGCGATGAACTGGTTTTCCTTGAAAATTTGCGTTTCTTTTCTAATGGCGGTATCGGTCTTGCTGATAGAAGCTACCTTGCATTTCTTAAGGCCTCTCCCGAGGTCTTGGATGATCGAAGCCAAATGAGCTCATGCCCTTCACATGTTTTAATGTACCCGACGGTGAAATCCGTGTTGTGAACACGAATAGCAGATACGAACTTTGCCGGCGAATCGAGAGTCCACGCCCAGTCGTCTCAAGCCACTGCCGTCGGCAGCGATATCATGTACCGTGCTTTTCATCTCCGTTCCCGCCGCGCTGTGGGTGCGAGGCGGGGCCAGTGGGAAGTGGTGGTGGCGTCGGAAAGCAATCTATTTGTTCCCCACCGATCGTTTGTTTCTTATAGCAATATTTTTTTTGCTTTTTTGTGCGGCTACTTGTGTTTCAGATAGCCGCCTCTTTTTCATCTTCTCCATTTCCGCTCCCTACTTTTTTTCTTTTTCCCATTTAATATAGCTGGTCACCCCCCTTGATGGTGCGCGCCCCCTCCCCCATACACGCACCCTTGTTGTTCCACACCTCCGCCCCCATCTCTGCCTGAGTTTCACATGAATCGTGGAGGGGGCTGGATTGTTCATCGTGAGAAAAAAAAAAGAAAAAGTTTTTCTTTCATCGCAGATCTGCCTAATCGAGGAGTTCGCTACGGCGGAGAGAAGGAAAAGCGGTCATGATGCCAGCTAGCTAGGTAGCTAGCAAGCTGACGACAGCCTCGGTCCCCACCCTTTGTATTTTTTTTTCCTCTCCCCCTCCTTCCCCATCCCTCTTTTCAGCCGCGACGGGCAGTTCCGCACGGCAAAAGGGAAGAGCCGGAGCGTGAGCACGAGCGTGGATGGAGGGAGGGAGAAGGGGAGAAGACCGTGATTGTGGTAGGTACATACTTTAAGGCACTCGTGCGTCTGGCGAATGCCGCGGCCTTTTTCTTCTCTATCGTGTACGATGAATATGCAAGTCCGTGTGTATACGTACTTATATAGAGGCTTGGCGGCAATGGTATTGGCCAGTGCATCTATTGTGTTATTCGTTTTGCTTGGCTTTAGCTCATCGTTTCCGGCCTCGTTCGCCATGGCGATTCGTAATTGTCTACTGTGTACAGTTTCCCGCGGTTCTCACTTGGAGAGAGAGAGTGACGTGAGGGAAGGCGTGACGAGGTAGAGATAGAGACGGGGCGACCAGTCACAGTGCGTGTGCGTGAATTGGAAACGGATATGGATCTCGGATTGAGGTGATGGCTACCTAAAACGCTCGCACCGTGGTGCAGATCGATGAGGTGGGCATCGCCTATTTGCATTGCGTGTGTGCGTGGTTCGATCAGATAGTTCTGACATGGCGATGACTCTCACCCCCCTCGGCTGCGATATGCGCTCGCGTTCGGGTCGGTACGCTCTCGTAACGAGCGCTTTCCCGAGGCGCGCAGTTCGTATGAGTAAGGGACAAGAGGTGATGCGTGTGATATGATGTGGGCGGTGGGGTGGGGTGCGAATGGAGTCAAGAAGGGGGAGAAAGAGAGGGTCCAGTTGCGATTATCCCTCGGCATTGCCAGCAAAGGGTGTTGTGCAGTGCGTCGCCTTCTGATGAATCGTCATCGTCCGGCACAAGCGGAGCGAGGTGATGTGAGAAACGGAACGAATGTCTTGCTGCTCGTCAGCCAGTCAAACAGTACACGGGCCAGGCGAAAGATTGATTCACGGTTGGCACCATGTGCCTGATCCTGCTTCCCTCAACCCCCTTCGATTCCATCGCTGATGATACGCGCTCCGTGATGAGTTGATGAAGGATTGTGGGATGATGGAGCACGCGCCCCTTCCGAGGATTGATTGCCTGCTGGGTCATGGGTTTGCGTGCGTGATATGTGGGTATCGATGGCTTCTCTGTTGCCCCCCGCCGCGCCTCCAGGGTAGCATTACCCGGTCCACTGTGCAACGATGATGCCCGCTTGTTGGTCTTCCCGGTCTGCCCGGTCTGCCCGGTCTGCCTTGGTCTGTGAGCAGGGGAATGGGAAAATTGGGGGCAACTGTCGTTTGGCGGTGGTGGCCAAAGCGTGCCACACGCACCCACAGGGCCACTGCTCGTCTGGATGAAGCCGTGAGAGCTCACGGCGAAAAAAAAAAAAGGTGCACGCGCCTACCTGCGCGCACTGCTGGCTCCGTGCGTTGGTGCCAGTGTGCTCAAGCGTCACCGCCTGCCTCTGCTCCACCGCCCATGTCCCGCCGCAAGTGGGAAGCTCGGGCTAATTTTGCCCTGTAACCATTCAGCTGGGAGACCATTGGCATGCTCGTCCTCCGCGCTCTCTCGTTGGACGGAGATGGCGATAGTACGACTGAGCAGCTGTGGGGACGCAGCGGCGGCGGCAAAGCTCAGCGTTCACAAACAGAAGACCAGATGATATCGACTCCACTCCGGCAGTTGCCATTCAAGACACGGGAGATCGCGCAAGCACACGGATGTGCCCGTCTCGCCTGCGTGCAATTTTTATCTCTTTCTCTTTTTCTCTCAGCTCCTCTCCGTCGTGATTTACCATCGATTCTGTTGCGGGGCTGCTCCCTGGTCCGCCCGCCGCCGCATCCATACCTGCTAATCCCGGAATTAGCTCACACGGTGCGATGTACGCTCACAGACCATCAACCCACATCCGCTCTGACGGTACCACCGTCACGAACGCAGGTGCCCCAGGTGCCGCATGACATGCCGTCCGCGTGCTGCGCCTACGGCGAACAGACGCGAACATCCTACCTCTGTTCTAACTCGGGATCACCTGTGGGGCCGGGACGGTGAATGGCAAAGCAGACGACGAAAGTCACGGAAGCAGCAGTGGCGACGGTGGCGGCGGCGAGGGCGGCGGCGATTCTTGGGGAACGTCGGTGCGTGAACCGCACACCCACCCCCAGGCTCTCGCTCTCTTTCCATTCACAAAATGCCCCCAAAAAAAAGACCAGGCACGAGATGGTCAGCGAGTCAAGTTGCAAGAACCGTCTTTAGCTGAACGAGGCTGAGGCGCTCGGTGTTGCGTATTGTCCGTGTGCTCTTATTTTCCCGCAGGGTCGCCGACCGTCGACAACGGAGAAATGGAATGGAGCGTTCGGCGGGCGGACGGCGATCCGCTAGGGAGTACGTCCGTACACGTGGAACGGAGCTGATGATCTTGCCTTTGCTTTTTCCATCCCTCTTTGTTATTCTGGTCTCCTTGCATATTCTGCTTGTCACTCTCTCTTGATGAGCGTGTTTGCGAGCCTCGATGCCGGTGAGCAGCTACCGAGGGAACTTCTGCGGCCGCGTTTCCTCGGAGCCCACAGTGACCGAGAGGGAATGTGGAGATGGAGCAAGCGAGGCGGGTGGGTTTTGCTTTGGATGATCGACACGACCGGAACGATCATCGTCAGGCCTGCGGCGAGGTCGCGCCTGGGACAGCTAGTCCCTTCTTTTCCCTTGAACGCCGGCATTGAGTGCGGGTGATTGGAACGTGGCCGCGAATGCGACGAGGACAAGTGGTGCGCGGAAAGAAAAGGTTACGTAGCGGCGGAGACGGCGCATCTGCAAGCCACCCATCGATCTATCGGTCCGTGGGCTTAGTGCGTTGATGGGCGATTGGGATCATTGCCCAGTGGTCCCCTGCGAAGGATGCACGACAACGCTTCCTCTGCCTGCGGTGCCGACTCCTGTGATTGCGGTGGTGGCGACGGGCGAGGCCGGTGGTTCCGCTGTTGCAGTCCTCGCTTTCTGTTGTCACGACGTAACAACGACAGGGCCGCGGAAGTCGGCTTTGTGCTTACCCTGAGACCGCGGAACCCAAGACCAACGATTATGGCTTCCAATAGACTCTCACCCGAAAGGAAACGCAGATGACAGGAGCTGATTGCATGAGCTTTACCAATCGACTTCGGTTGCTCACATCAGACGATATGCTTCCATATATCCAGTCCGGCGCCGGCTCCGGCCAATGCCCGGGTCGAAGGCGGACATGTACTAGTACTTGGAACATCACTGACCACATCAGACAGATCTGACAAGGCGAATCCGGAGAGAGGGCGTGAGTCCAGAACGCTGCAGGCTCGCCCAAGCCCGCACGTGTGCATGCGTGGCATGGGTTGCAATAATGATGAGCTGTTGCATGCGTCAGGGATGTCACTTGATGGTTGCAGCATCGCTTGGTTGGCTGAGGAAGAACGTTGTAATAGGAGCGACGTAGGTTGTGTAGCCATACTGTGTAGTAGTAGCGCCCGTTCTCAACAATAATGTAGGTATCGGTAGCAAGGCACCAGGGCGGACCCGTTAGACAGGCAATACACAGGGCGTATAACACAGCTAGCGTTGCTCGCCGAGGCACCTTCTATTGACGTGCTCTTGAAGCACCCTGGCACGCTGGCATTCTCTCAGACGCAGGCCGCGGACATCTTGACTCAGCAGGCAATAGATGCGTGCCGGCGGGAGAGTGCGGGAGAGGGATTATTGCAGCATATAGGATACAAATACAGTACACTAGCTGCGGCCGGAGGTGGGGATTGGCTGGCAACTGCCACTTGGTAGGCCTT